TCTATAAGCTTTATAACATTTGATTTCATTACTCCTTTTTGCTGTCAAATCGGGTGATCTACAAAAATAAAGGGAGTAATTAAGCAAATGCGAGATTGTGAAGATAACAAAAGTAAATTATTGATATGTTTTCCCTATTTAATCAAGTAATCAACTGTGAAATGTTTCGATATAACTTTTTTTTTTGTATTGAAATACTAAAACAACCTAATGAGTTATTGTTTTTTGGTTTGTGTTTTTTTTTTCTTCGAATAAGAGTTAATGACGTTAATGTTTTCTAAACAATAGACAAAACTCATAAAACCAAATCATCAAAAAAAAAAAGACAGAAAATAGATGGAACATGTTGGGTCATGAGATTAAAAAGGAAACTCATTAAAAGTGGAAATGTCATACCACATAAAAAAAGGAAAATAGTATGAATAAAAAATAAAAGTGATTTACATTATTATTTCAACAATGATACATTCTTTATATACAGTATATGGAGATTTCCATTTTCCGAGGCTAAGCGTGGTAATATATTACACGTACGATCAAGAAGACTCAAGAGTTTGATATATTTTTATTAACTAAACATGGCTGTATTTTAGTTAATGACGAATGATAGATGAAAAAATAAAAAAAAGGGTGTGATTAGGTATAATAAATTAATGAATAAGCAAAGGCATTAGCACGTGACAAAGCTTTGCCTTTATTAACAAAACTTTGCTTTTTTATAACTCATGCTTTCCATTTTCTCTTTAGTGGACCATATATAATATCGTCCTACTCTTTTGTATTCTTCATCATCATCATCATCTTTAGTACTTAGTTACGGATTACACCTTTATGTCATTTTACTGATATATATACAACTTCTACTTTTTTCCTATCAAAATAATTTGAAATATCTGATTCTGATTTATTATCAAATAAATGAGAACAATACATACGTAATTCTCCCCATATATTTTATGCATGGAAATTTTCTTGTTTGCATGCATGATAAAAACCTAACTTGTTATATAGAAAAAAACTAACTATATATATCACATTGTTGTTGTAGTGTCACCACAAATCTCGATTAAGTAGTAACTTATAACGCAAATCAATAATCCATTAACAGTATTATGCTATTTGCATAATTAAACAAATTGAGATATATATCGACTAGAGTAGATGATACACACGTATAACTTAAAAAGCTTCGAACGTGCATCAACTTAAATCCTAAAGACTCATAAATCATAATACAATGTAAGGCATGCGTCTCGCTATCCAAATCATTATTTTCTTTCATCTTCTCCTATATATTTTATTTACTTAATTCTTCTTCTTTTTCTTTTTTCAAGCTTTTGTATTACATACATTACACACTTACTGATCTATTTTTATATTTATAACTCTCTATACATATATTTTGATCAATCATTCATACAGTCTACGATCTTAATTACTGCGTCAATCATAAATTTTGAACCTCCCATCTGAAATAGAGTACGTAAAATAAGTGCAGAAAAATTTAATAGCAGAATCAAAATATATAATGGGATATCTCAATTCTTCTACAAACAGAAACAAAGATACGTACTAGCAGCATCATCTTTTATTACAGTAAACAAATGGTCCAAAGCTCAACTTATTAGTACATAATCTTTTCCTTTCCCTTTTGTTTTTACTTTTGGGCTGGACCCGGATACTGTGGTCCCGTCTAAAGTCTGCCCGTATTGGGCCTGGACTTTACCCGGTGATTATACACGAATTATAATCTAATTATTTTAACATAGCAAGTAATACAGCTTAATAAACGATATACTGCGGCATAACTTTGTTTGTATTATGTGTTTTTTTCCTGGATTAAAAACTAATGATTCAAAATTTATGTTACCGTTAACACCACAAAAGGTCGACGTCATTTATTTCCCAATGTGTATACGAATCATTAAATTTACGTTTTTTTTTTTTTTGTAAAAATTCACATAAAATTTTCTTTTGTCAATTTCCTTCTACGTTGGACCATTCTCACTTCGCAGCTTCAAGTGCATTTCCATTAATTCATAAAGAGCCAAAAAAACAAACAAACAGTTTTGTTTTTCCATAATCTTTTCTACGTGACAAAACAATATTATTTTTTAGATTGGTTATCGCAAATATGCTTGAGATGTTTTCTTTTTACTTTCAATCATAATCTTTCAATATTTTAGTTCATGTCTTTTATAACTTTTTTTTTATCAAAGTCATTTATATATATATCCTATGGTCCATCTTCATTTCCAATATCGGATGTTATTGCCTAAAAACAATTGTAAAATGAAAATATTCTAACTCACAAATTCACAAGCTTCTAACTTTAAACTTATAGATATTGATCAATATCTTTTAATACATTATGGTACAGTAGTAGATATATTTCTAAGTATAGCAAATCATATCATAATTTCTCCAAAACACTTATACGATCATATATGCTATCTATAGATAATGTAATAAATATATTAGATGACACATAATTGTCGCCTCTGATCATCCAGCCCTCTTCCCATCACATGCCATTAATGGACCTATGTGTGGTGCTGATAGTAACGTACAACCATGACGACGTCTGAGAAGATCTTACTCTAAAACAATTAAAACATAAACTTGCACTTTGTGAATTTGTAATTTCATATATAAAGTAAACATTCTGGAGAGCGATATATATACATATATATGATGTCCTTTTTTGTTTTTGCTTTCCCTGTATATATTTGCCACATTTATGCACATAAAATCAGCTCATATCCATCGATCGGTCCCCAATTTTTCAATGATAAGTCAATTTTTTCTTCCTTTTGATAACCAATGTGGTCCAATAAGACAAGTAAATAGGGTCCATTTAGGGCTAGCGTACGTGGTACATCGCATGTTCACTATCACTTATGAGCGCATGCAAGTGAAATTACATGTCAAAACCTTACGCCATATATATATTTGTCAATATATTGCTATACAAAACACATCGTTTGTTTTTTTTAATCACATATTTTGTCCAAAAAAAAAGAGTATTTGTTTTTGTTTTGTATCATTAGACCCAAAGAATGTTTTTGTGTCAGTTTTCTTTTTCTAATAAAACACAAGAAAATAAACAATAATACTATCCAACGTAAATATTTTTAATTAATTAATAACTTTAAACAACATATATTATTAAATCCACGCACATTTATAGTTACAACGAGAATTAACACGCATTAATTAGTGATTGTGCAAGTTAGCAAACGAATTCAAAAACATATGTAATTAAATCTATCGAAGAGCATGATCAATAAACTCGGGTGAAATCTGCAAGACTGCAACAACATAAATATTTAATCAATTATCTAAAAACTTTTGTCCACATTAAGCAATACTAGAAGAAAATAGATCTATGATATATAGCTTAGTGCTTTGATATAACAAAGACAATAATTTTATTTTTATTTTTGTAAAAATGAATAATGCTACGTAAAAAAAATGGTTAAGTACTTATTAAAACGATGACATGATGGATAGTAACTAAATGAACGAACAAATAGGTTGAAAGCAACTGAGAAATAAATAAAGGAACGAAGTAACATCTTTTTCATAAAGCTGGACTGCCTCGGTGTGTGATAGAACAAACAACGAAGATAAGGAAGGAGAGAGAGAGAGTACTGTTGTCATTGGTCAACGTCTGCTTCACGATCAGTTTAGTTTGATCGATCACACTAGTCCTTTGTAGAGAGAGTTTCATAACTTGCAAACATTGGGCCTTATAGAGGCCCGAGTACTGATGTTGATACCCACGAAAAGATATGGCAATACTCTTGTCATGGCGTCACAGTCAAATTTGGTTATGGATTTAGTTTTCACATGTAAATATTATATAAGATGAAACAACAGAAGCTAATGCTGAGATCAACTCCTATGACAGGTGTAGTTAGAACAAGTCTGGATAGGATCAGAAGGCGAAGATGTGCCCTTGCAAATCCAAGATATTCAAACTCTATTATTTATCAAAAAAACAAAAGTCAAAATAAATAGTGGTCTTGAATCTTTTGATGCAGATGTCGTTTGCTATTTTTATTTTTGTTGGATAGTCCACGAAAGAAATGTTAACTTAAGATTATCCACTACAATATTTTCTCGTAAATTAAGCTTAGCTTAGCTCGGCATTGATATTTTCTCTGTATTAACATTAAATAATCCCAGAGGAAAATGTATGATAAAACTACAATCATGATTAGCACGAAATATACGAAGAAAAGTCTGAACAAATAATTAAATCTTGTAGAATGTACCCTACACGTGAACTTGATATACTATAATGCAAAATGATGTAATTAGGCTGAGATTCTACAATATTTAATAATCTTAAGCTTGTAACGCTAACGTTTATTTCGTATTTTAATGCTTTGTTGGGTACTTGGGTTTGAATAAAACGATTCGCTATCGCTTTTCGAAAATTTCGAAAATTTGACTCAAAAACATAGGGGTTTACTAGCTCCAAACAGACCAAATAACTCGTTAATTCCCAGTGTAATTTACAAAAGAAAACAAAATTAAGAAAATAAAATAATTCGATTTTAAAAACAACAACAAAAGCTAGTCTTGAGATCATCTTCTCAACAAATTGACAGATGTCTTTCGAACAAGTCTGTATAGTGGATTGAGAAGAGAGATGTGTCGCAGCTAATCCAAAAAAGTCCAAAGTCAGTTTTTGAAACGTTAATTTGGATGCAGAAATTGCTTGTCTGTTATTCTTTATTGCAAAGTCCACCAAAGATCATATTTGTTTCTTATTGCAATTATCTCTCATAAGTTAGTTGAGCTTAATTATGACAGCTCAAGCTCGACGACATAATCCTTACTAAAAATTATCTTATTCCAATGAAAACTATACTATTAGCCATATATATATTTTATTTTATTTTTACTATTAGCCATATATAATCCCTTATTAATTAGCACGAAATGTATGAAGAAAAGTCTGACCATTTTTTTTTTTTTTTTTTGAAAATATATACAAGTGAAAATTATGCATTTATATATAATCGACCTTGACATCCAAAAGTTTTACCAAATTATTTTCAGATTAACTCAAAAAGAAGATTGAGCAACTATCAATGGAGAACGACTCGTCATTCAAGAATAACAAACCACCATCGTGTGGATCACTCGTCACAATCCTCAGCCTCGACGGCGGTGGAGTCAGAGGAATCATCGCCGGAGTAGTCCTTGCCTATCTCGAGAAACAACTTCAGGTTTATATATATTCCACTAGTCTCGTATATGGTAGCGCTAGGATCAGAAACTCGTACTAAGTACCATGTTAATGCACCATGTTAGAAAGTTCATCGATGTTTTATGTTAAATTCATAATTTGACTCTTTACAAGATAGTAAATGAACTTTTTGTTTTTTCGTAGTTATTTTTCAGAAAAATAAAGTTTTTTCTCGTATATATAGGAACTCGATGGCGAAGACGCGAGGCTAGCTGATTACTTCGACGTGATAGCCGGAACTAGCACCGGTGGTCTCGTGACTGCGATGTTGACAGTACCGGATGGGACTGGTCGACCTTATTTTGCGGCCAAAGACATTGTGCCGTTTTACCTTGAACATTGTCCCAAGATATTTCCCCAGCCTTCGTAAGCTAATTCTATTTCGTTTGATATGTAGTCATTAGATGGATATTGTTTGTGTTCGTATTTATGTTTACAATAGATAACTTTATGTTTACATTTACAAAATAGTAATACTATATGAAAAAAAATATAAGGATTAAAACAAACCAGCAGTAAAAACGAATGTTTTGTCCTTAATTATATTATAGAACAACTAGGCATTATATTATGTGTTTGGTGTTCCATATAATGCCCAATTGTTCTATTATATAATTGGGATATATATCATTATTTTTCCTGATATAATTATATATATATATATATATACTGTATGTTAAATTCCACGTGGCAATTGAAAAAGACATTCTAGTAAAAAATGCAGAGGTGTGTTTGCTCTGTTACCGAAACTTCCAAAGCTTCTGTCTGGTCCAAAGTACAGCGGCAAGTATCTACGAAATCTACTAAGTAAGCTGCTTGGAGAGGCAAAACTTCACCAGACACTCACAAACGTTGTTATACCTACCTTCGACATCAAGAAACTTCAACCCACCGTTTTCTCCTCTTACCAGGTCTCTATTCTTTAAACACAACACACATTTACAGATTAAAATATAAAAGTTCTTGTTTCAACCTAATTAACAACCTTACTTTTTTTGTTTTGAAGGCGTTGGTTGACCCTAGCTTGAACGTCAAGGTATCAGACATATGCGTCGGCACATCAGCTGCTCCCACTTTCTTTCCTCCTCATTACTTTTCCAATGAAGACAGTCAAGGCAACACGACCGAGTTTAACCTCGTTGATGGCGCAATTACTGCTAATAACCCGGTACTCTCGAGAACGAACATAATACATTAAAAAAACCTAGTTTAGTTTTTTAATTTTTGTTATGTTTTTGGTTTTGTTATAGACTTTGGTGGCCATGACTGCTGTGTCTAAGCAGATAGTGAAGAACAATCCTGACATGGGTGATATCAAGCCGTTAGGTTACGACCAGTTTCTTGTTATATCGATAGGGACAGGGTCTACTAAAAAAGAGGAGAAGTACAGCGCAAAAAAGGCTGCAAAATGGGGAATCATATCTTGGTTATATGACAATGGATCTACTCCGATATTAGACATTACCATGGAATCAAGCCGCGATATGATCCATTTCCACAGCTCCGTTGTCTTTAAAGCCCTACAATCTGAAGACAAGTACCTCAGAATAGATGTACGGGCTACATCTATGTGCACCTGCACCCAAATTTGTAACTGAGACTAATCTACACGATTTTTTTTGGTCTGAACTCGATTGCAGGATGATACATTGGATGGAAATGTAAGCAGTATGGATCTAGCGACAAAGTCTAACTTAGAGAACCTTGTGAAGATTGGAGAGAAGATACTGAAAAACAGAGTCGTGCAAATGAACATCGACACTGGTGTATACGAACCTGTTACTGAAAATGTTACCAATGATGAACAACTAAAGAGGTAACTAAGAAGCTTTCTAATGGTTTGTTGATGGGTTTCTTGAATCACAAGCAAGCTCATTCCTTTAAGTTTTTAAAATTGTAGGTATGCAAAAATCCTCTCTGATGAAAGGAAACTAAGGAGAATGAGAAGCGAGACAATGGTTAAAGATTCATCAAACGGATCACAAGAGACCAAATAAAAGGAAATACAGCCTGATGATGATCTCATTCTTGCTTTTGTGTGAAATTATTTACTGTACAAGATGATATTGTTCTTTAGTTTTAAACTGATGATCTTGTGTGTGTGTGGCGCTCGGCGAATTCACTTAACGCCTTGTTGGGGTGGGTTTTTTGTTTTTGTTTTTGTTTTTTGTTTTTTTGGGGTGTATCTATTGAAAAGATATATAAAATTTACAAATCAAGTTACACTTTTCCGGTTTACATTTTTTCTTGCCCTAAAATTTATCTTGTTCATTACGTTCGCAAATTGTAAAAACTATAAGAACAAATAGAAATAAGACAAATTATACTTCCTCAATTTTTTACTCAATCATGAACTACCAATTGAAGTCTAAATGTTAGAAGAAGATACATTTAAAACCAAGTTATACAATGAGAACAATTTTGTAACAATGGAATGCCAAGACAAAGTAACCATTGCAAGGTAGAGTTCAGAAAAGTAAATTAGAAACTGGAAACGGTCGAGTTATACAATTCTTCACGTATCAAGTTACTCAACTACTATAAATCAAGTTAGTCAATTAGTATCGTGATGTTATATAAATCTCTATCCCCAGTTAATAACTAATTCGGTAAAGTGAAGCATCAATTAAAGTGGACAACTTAAACTTTAATTATAATATCTTATTGTCAAATTTGACGATCATGTATAACATATATACAATTGTAACGTTCTTAAGAGGATGTTTAGTACAAGAACTTGACTCTTTCAAAACATGTAGAAAAATATAATCGTTCATTCGAACAAACCCATATGTGTATGTCGCACGCCAAAAGAATGCTAATCATATATCTGACCATATAATTAATCAAGTTTGTTCTATATATTAATATTTTAAAAAGGTCATGCTAGCTAAGGAAACGAGATACGTGAAGAACTGCATAAGCGGGTTTGAAGGGGTAAGACAATATTAGAGGATTACATCTGAATGTTTTTTCTAATTAATCAACACGAAAAACATTTGACAAAGGGATCACATATACAATTCTCGCAAAAGTGGACCGTAGATAGATTTTGTACTACTTGTCACGGCATTGACAGAAAAAATAAATATTGTAAATAATATATTAATTAATCACAGAATTCGATTAGGTATGATCACAAAAAGAATACTCAATGCATTGAGAAAGAAAGCTTAGAATATATGTATGTGAGTCACTTTTTAATTACTCAGCCAATGCCTTCAAGACTTAAACTGCATGTATTGAAATATATGCAATCAATATCCTTTTTAGTTACTCTTATCTAATTAGTTTCCTTGATATATATATATTATTCAGCATGTTAACTTTTGGACCTTTAGATTAAAAGTTTCATCATGACAATATATATATATATATATATATATATATATATATATATATGAAGCTTGTAAGTAGTAAAAAAGACTTTGGTTTAGTACAACGATTATATCCTTGTAGACTAGCCGTAACTAATGTCAAAAAGAAAAGAAAATGAGTAACCATATAAACAATTCCAAATGCATAATTTAGGCCACATTTTATTGCCTTGAGTGACGGTTACACATTTGCTTGTAAGTATGATTCTCGTTGTCTCCTTACGTAATTATATTTGATTGGAAAAAGTCATGTCTTATTCAACGAAGCTCCCTTGTTCTTACGATTTCAGTTCTGTTAGTAAAATATATTATCTATGTTCAGGTGACTTCTGCTACTAATTTGTGTGCATGTTTTGTCTACTAATTGTTTTCTTTGGAAAGGACAGCTGTCATCTAGAAGTAGGTGTGTAACATGACATGAAATAAAGTAACCAGAAGTGTAATGGGGCGTGAGAGTGATGAACACGACATCCTAACCAAGAAACCTCTCCTTAGATTCAGAAAAATCCAACACTATGTGATGGTTGTGTGTATGGGTATGCATAACATAGTGTTGTATATAGGCTCCCTAACCTACATATATGTTTTTCTATATATATGTAACGGTAGTTCTACTGGTTTGATCACATTTATCACCATCACCATCTTGAAAAGGTGAAAAGAACTTAATCCCTCTTAAGTTAAAGGAAAGAGATTTGATCAAATCTATAGAAATAAGTTTTGATTGAGATATAAAAGAAAGGATAAGAATTTATAACTAATGGATACGGAGAGAAGATCAACAAGTTCATCAGAAATAACCACAACTGATCATAATCTGAAAGACAGAACGTTAACAGTGTGCTGTCTTCCTCCTTCGTACGGACAACTTATCACCATTCTTAGCATCGATGGTGGTGGCATCCGTGGGATCATTCCCGGCACAATCTTGGCTTACCTCGAATCACAACTTCAGGTATATGTACTAACTGATTGATCTTAATTGTAGACTTTCTTACAACTTTGGAGATTGTGTATTAATTTTTTATCTTTTAAACAGGAACTGGATGGTGAAGAGGCAAGGCTTGTGGATTATTTCGATGTCATCTCGGGTACGAGCACCGGAGGTTTGATAGTGGGGATGTTGGCCGCACAAGGCGAAGACCAAAGCGGTGGCGATAGCCATAGCCGCAACCGCAACCGCCCTTTGTTTGAGGCCAAAGAAATCGTACCTTTTTATCTCAAACACTCTCCCAAAATCTTCCCACAGCCAAGGTATGCGTCTGTAACCCGTTTGCCTTTAGTCCAGTTCAGAGTCTTGCTAAGAAAGAACTTTTAAATGTGCAGAGGGATATTATGTGGCTGGGGTGAAACCTTGGTGAGACTTGTGCGAGGACCCAAGTTCAACGGGAAGTACCTTCATAAATTAATTGAAGGTTTCTTGGGAGACACGAAGCTAACTCAATCTTTGACAAACGTTGTCATACCTTGCTTCGACATCAAGAAACTCCAACCAGTTATATTCTCTACCTACCAGGTAAACACCGTACCACTGCCACCTATATTCTCGCAACTTCATCACATGTATATATTGATCCAATATTGTCATACAAATATAGGCGGTGACTAATCGAGCTCTGGACGCGAAACTATCAGACATATGTATAAGCACGTCAGCTGCACCAACTTATTTTCCAGCTCATCGATTCACTAACGAAGACAATGAAGGAAACAAACATGAATACAACCTCATTGATGGAGGTATCGCAGCCAATAACCCGGTAAATACATCAAAACCCTAAAATCTGAAAACCCTAAGTTGGTAATAGTTGACGTGTCCGTTAATCTTTCTTCTATTTTTGTTTTTTTTCCAGACGTTATGTGCGATTGCGGAAGTGACAAAGCAGATAATGAAGAAGAATCCAGCAATGGGAGACATAAGCCCATTGGACTTCACGAGGTTTCTGGTGATATCGATTGGGACAGGTTCGATTAGGAACCAAGAGAAGTACAATGCGGAGATGGCGTCGAAATGGGGATTGATGTGTTGGATCTTTGAAAACGGATCAACTCCAATTCTTGATTGTTACAACGAAGCCATTCATGACATGGTTGATTACCAAAGCTCTGTTGTCTTTCAAGCTCTTCGGTCTGAGAAGAATTATTTACGTATCGATGTGAGTTTCTTGTACGAAACAATAATTACGAAAATTTGTAATAAAATATTTTTGGTTAGTGAAGGGTCAATTTCTATTGACCAAAAATATCAAATAATTTTTTTACTGATTTTTTTTTGTATGTATTTTCTATTACAGGACGATACGTTGAAGGGTGACTTAGGCTCAGTGGACATATCGACAGAGAAGAACATGGAAGGTCTTATTGAAGTTGGTGAAGCTTTATTAAAGAAAAGAGTCTCTCGTGTCAATCTCGAAACTGGCCATTATCAACCCATCTCTGATAACGTAACTAATGAAGAAGCTCTCAAAAGGTTTAATAACTTTTAACCTAAGAAAATCAAGATTTATTACTTAAATATAATAACAGTGGATTTAATCTGTAATATATTGCTAATTCTTACAGGTTTGCAAAAGTTCTGTCAGATGAAAGGAAACTCAGAGAATCAAGATCTCCTAAACTCAACATCTAACTATTGCTTTGTTGCGATAATAATGTAAAAACTTGTTTGTGTGATTTGTAACGACAGATTCAGTTTGCTTGTGTGAGCAAAGAATATTTGAATAAGAATATGATTCTTACATACCTTTTGGCTTTGGGTTCCATTCCAATAACATCAATTTGAGACAAATTTGGGAATCATTTTTTAACAGGTGGTTAGTATCTCAGCTCCATCTTTGGTTATAAGAATCGTATGCTCGAATTGTGCAGAGAGGCTTGCATCTTCCGTTACCACTGTCCAATTATCATCCCACATTATCGGGTTTCTGCTTCCTATCGTAAGCATCGGTTCTATGGTGAATGTTTGATTCAAGACCATACGGCCAGCTTCATTGTTCCCTGCATAGAAGAAGTTCAGAAACTATGCGAGATGGTCCACAAAGCAGCAACTCGATGTCTGAGTTTTAGACAAACTTACGGAAATGTAGAACAACTGGATCCGCGTGGAAGACACGTCCAACCCCATGGCCTACAAATTGACGAACAACTCCATATTTATGTTTATCTGCAAGATCACTTCATAAGCACAATGTTGTTATGTCAGAAGAATTGATCTTTCAATGTAGATTAGGAACTCATTAATACAAGATTAACTTTTCAACAAAACCAGTTTCTTACTGGATAACTTTGCCGATTTTCTTGTACTCAACTCCAGGACCACATATTGATATTGCTTTGTCGAGAGACTCTTTTGTCACCTAGAGCACATTCCAAGTATAAAGCTCATTCCACTATTAACAAGAACATGATTTTTCCTAGAGGACAGAAATGGGATCGATTCCGTTCAACATCATACCTCAACTAGCTTTTTAGCCTTCTCGTCAACATTTCCACAGAAGAAAGTTGCTGAAGTATCACCATGATAACCCTGCAGATCCGAGATAAGTATCTATACTCTATACTATAGAGTAAACCCAATTTACTTGACTAAAGAAGAATCAGAAAATACAGAAAAGAAGAAAAGTTTACATTCAAATAAACTGTGACATCGATATTGATTATATCCCCATCCTGCCAAAGGACAGCATACATTATTAGAATTCACAAGGGACATAGATAAAAGTCTGTTGAGCTCTACATACACCTCTTAAAGAAGCATACCTCAAGTGGTCGTGAATCTGGTATTCCATGGCAAATGCATTCATTCACAGATGTGCAAACACTTTTCGGGAAATCTCCATAACCAAGAGGCGAGGGATACGCTCCATTCTCGATAATCATATTGTGAACTGCTTCATCGATTTCATCTGTGGTTACGCCTGGCTGCCAAACAGGAAACATATATAGATTGATAGAGCATTACAAAACTTTCAAATGCGACAGAAAAGTATAAAACTTTCCTCACCTTAACCAAAGTTCCAGCGTATTCCCGAACCCTAGCTGCAAGTTTCCCAGAAGCTCTCATGCACTCTATACCTTTATTATCATGGATTTCAAGTCCACTTGACATTCCAGGGACTTTTAAAGAATCAACATAAGGAGGTTTTGTTATATGGTTTGGGACAGGGCGACGAGGAGATAAATTTCCCGGTCTCAGACGTTTTCTCTTGCCATCAATAACTTCATCTTCGTTTCTTCAACCAGAAAACCAAATAATCGAAAGAACAAAAGTTAATACATTCTCTGCTACTCAGTACTCAGTAGCTAAACTGTAAGAGACATCATAATACCTTCTATTAAACAAGAGGTTGGTTAATCCAGAAAAGGTTCTCGATAATTGCATTGAAACATGTCTTCTTCCTGTCCAAATTGAGAAAATTCTCACATTGATCTCGTTTCAATTAAACACTGTACCCTACAGCTCATGTTTCAAAATGCTCTGTTCCTTTCATGGGTTAGCCTAAAACCCTTCAGAAAATCATATATGAATCAAAATAGCAATCTGGGCGTTCACAAGTCTTAATCTTTTTTTGTAATCTGCTCAACTAACATAGTCATCAATAAAACTAGCAGTAGCAGGAAGAAGTAGAGTATAGAAAGAAAGAAGAACCTAAATCGAAGCGAAAGAGATGAATAAGTGGTTGCGTTGATCGAATAGAGCGGTCGCCGAGAAAGGAGGAGATGAGTCGGGGTTGCAGAGATTTCACGCCCGCCATTTTGTGGTTTCTCGGCGAGCTTTTCGTTATCCGCTTCGCCGTCGTCCTCACACAATTTTATTTTTCCTAACAAAAAGCTATTTGTGATATTGGGCTCTAATGGGTCAAAACTAAAACGAACGTGGGCTTCTTCACTGTAAGCTTTTGTATTCTCTTTCACTCAAATCTCTGAAATTATTTAGAAAAAAGCTCTGTTTTGTTGAATCCTAAATTAGTAAATTTAGCAACTTCTGTACATACTTCTTTACACTTTGTAATCCAAGAAACTAAAAAACACATCTTAATTACAAAGGAAAATAAAAAATCCTAATCATTATTAAAAGAATATACAACAATTGCTGCTCCTTAGGTTAGACCTCGTCAATGAAATCTCCAGAGCTCATGGAACCGGTTCTATTCAAGCCTTGTTTCTCTAGATAATAAGTTATTAGAGCCTTGACCACTTGCCTGAACCTTCTCCTATAAGTAGGAAGCTTAGATACGCTCCGTACCATTCCCGTCATCCTACAACACACAAGATCAAAAAACCTATCACAAACAAGTTTCAGACAGAAACAGAACTAAAGAAGCCATAAAGGTTAATCTTTTCTATGTACGTGAAAAAGTGTGAATATCTTTTTACCTTCTGCTGATTCCTTGGATTTGAGCAGCTCTAACGTTTTCTTGAGGCGGGTTACCGCGATTATCCCAAGCTTCCATGCGTTCTTCTTGGTTTCCAAAGAGGACAACTTTCTCTAGGTACCTAACTTCACTTTCTCCAAGTTTAATTGCACGAATCTGATCTTTCAATACCATAACTGGATTAAATATCCAGTCCAAGAACTTGTCTTGCGGTCTATTCAAATGAGTTACTTCCGAGCCATCAAGCAGAAGCACACCATGAGCACCAGCTTTAATAGAGCTAAGCAATGTATGCAGCAACGCGTAAGAAGGAAGCCCGACATTTATAATCGATGATTCTTTACCGTGTCTCCCCTTTAAAGACTCATAGAGATCAGCTGGTGTTAACACTCCTGCGTCTAGTAGCTCTCTGCCTTGCATCTCAAACCAACCCATCATATGCTCCCAAATCTGTTAGGAAAACTTCAAATATTCAAAACTATGTAGATATGTGTGAGATTCGGAATCTAGATTGAATTTTTGACATATACCTGAACCATTCTCACTTCTTGTATTGCTTCTCTAACAGATACAGAGTGAACTAGACTTGGTACTAGCATCGCTGGAGCATCTGCAGAACCGGAACTACTGACTCTGGTTACATTTGTAGGGTGAACAATCACAGATACTTCACTTGAAAACGATCCACTTCTCATCCGATATCTTGGCCTGTGTGTTGAGGATTACAATTTCTCGGTGTTAGAATCATGGAGCAGAAGAAAAGGTATGTAAAATGATTGATAAGAGACATACTTTGGGAAGATTGTTCCTTCTCTAAGGTAAAGCCAGTCATTTGTGTACTCATCAAATTCTCCAACTACTGCAATCACATAAGAGACTCCTCTTCTGAATGACCTTTCCTGCACATTAGAAAGATTCAACAGTGAAAAAGGCTGAAACTTGTCTCGGATCATTTGGTCAATATGATCATAATGTACCTGAAATACAACAACTGCTCCATACAAACCGACAAAGATGCTGGAGAAGATGGTCGTCAAAACAAATCCAATGACAATAATAGGCCATAACAGTATTGTCAGACCAGCAACTGGTATACAAGCTATTTCAAGAAATGGTCCTTCACGATTAATCGCGTCTTGAGCTAGACGGTACCAGCCTTTAAGCAGAAGGTAAGGGCTTTTAACAACGGCGATTCCAGTGAACAGAGGGATATCAATGATTAATCCTATAATCCCTACAATTATGCATCCAGGAACATGAATCAACCTGCACGAAGACACAACAAGATCAATACACAAGAATCAGTAAAAACTCTATAATCCTTGACAAGTTACATATTTCACCTAAGAGTTTGAAGCTCCTCTGAAGCAGGGGACTCGCGCAACTCCTTTAAGTAAAGCGGATAAGAATGGTAACAAAAATCCGCAAAATCGGTAACCACAGTACAACTTCCCTTGATGGTTCCCCAAGTTCCATCCTAATGATACAGAGCAAACAGAGTCAAGATATGATTCACTAATAGGATGGAAACAAACTGTGGGGAAATTTATATAAAATACCACAAGACAGTGGAAGAACTTGTTGGATTCAGTGTCTTGTCTAAATGCTTCAAAAGCAGAGATCCAGGGAGTGAAGAATCCATAGCCAACACCAACAAGAACACTGACTGCTATACTTAGACCTAACCATATCCCAAACAATGCAGGAAGTGCCACCAAGATTGCTAGTTTCAGAGGAATGTCAAATCTATTTGTCCTGCAATGTAGAGAAACACATGATGACCAAGAATAATCAAACCAAGAATCAGGTGCCAGGGAAAATTTTGAGAAAAGGAGTTGGAAAATTTGGTTACTTTGCAACAGCGTAAACAGTCCAAGTAACATGTGCAGGGAACAAACCAAGAATTACTCCAACATTTCCTACTATTAATGTTAAACCAGCAATCGGACCTACTATCAAACCTGCATAGAGAAAAAAAAAACTCAAACTTTGAAAAGAACCTGCATCATCAAGGATCAAATCTTTTAGAAGCAGAGAAAAACAGAGCCAAAAACGAAAGTGAACCTTTGAGAGCACCGAGAAAGAAAGCAGAACAAAAGGCAAATATGACATAAGAAATCTTCAGACAGCTTCCTAGGTTAGTGACGACAGCCATAGTCTTGTGGAAAGAAGAACAAAAAGAAAAACAAAAGAAAATCTCAGATATTTGTTGGATCAGTTTTTATAAAAAAATTATAGCTGTGGAAAAAATTACAGAGAGAGAAGGGCGTGTTGTACAAGTTTACGAAAGAGATGAAATCAGAAAAAAGACAAAGGGGACGATGACAAGTGACAAGAAACGAATAGACTATTTTTTTTTTTGTCGAAAACGAATAGACTCAAACGCCGAGAGAACACATTAATTATTCCCATTCCAGAAAAATTCAGAGATAGTTTACATATTTAATTGAAGGTTACATGAATATGTGAATAAACTAAAGTTGATAGGAGCAATTGTTGAAGAAAAAAAAAAGGGATATACGTGTGTAAATACGTCATTGGAACTTGGGCCTATTTTGGTTGCAGGTATGTATATTTTACACATGCCGTGCCAAGCAAACTATCGTGATTTGGACAGCCATATCTGATATATCGCCTCATATCCTATACTATTATTAACTCTTATTATATCCCAAAAAACCAACCGATCAAGTTTAGTTTTTCTTTATAAGAAAAAATAAAGCGTCATTCAACCAGTGGAAAACCGTGTATATGCGACGAACAATGTTTAAAGTATAAAGAAACATTGATTGTTTCCAAACAAAGAAAAAAATCCAAAAAAAAAAAAATGTAAATTAATTTTGCTGACTATTATTCGGCAAACTCATAGCCAAAGTCAAAACTCACAACTTTGAAATGTGTTTTTCCGTTAATAATAATGAAAAGGTGGCTTCGTTTTGACCTTCTACAAGACTTTCTACAAGACAATTAGAATGATCGTCGCATATTTTTTAATGGATCTCCAACACATTACATGCCAATACTTGTATGGGATAGTGGCGTGTATACATGCAGTAATTGTACCAAGCACAAGCTATAGATGGGGTCTAAGACTAGCCTAACACGTATAAAACAAATCAGACAAGATTATAAATTTGATAGTTACATAAAACCCGTGATTCAACTACTAATGACAAAATCACATAGATTTTGTGCGTACGTAGCTTCTGCCTTTATCCAATTGTTCAGTTTTTCTTGCATTATGAATAAAACTGTCGAAACGCAGCGTTTTTAGACAAAGGTGGTCAACTCAATAGTTAAAAGTGCAGCAGAGAGAGACAACTTCCCTGCCTTGACATAAACTATAATTTGAAGCTCAAGAGCCACTAAACCCCTTCAGATCATGGGATATCCATGCATTGTTATAAGATTTCAGAAATCTGCAAAATGAAAGCACATTCGAAGCCATTAATCCAAAGATAAGAGCAATAGAAAGTTTCTTGCTTTTCCATTGATTGATTCTTACTACATACATTGATTGGCATCTCTGCGATGATAAGGCCACTGCTTTCTTCGAGGCTTTTGAGAGTCGTGACTTCACCTCCAACAACCATGTTTATGACAATACCACCTTAAGAGAAAGTTTCAAATGTTAAAAGTCATTGTTGATCAACAAATGAGTTTGTTTTGAGAAAAGAACCTGAAGCCAAGCAAGATGTTATCCGCCTTGTATATGTTTCCTGAAACATGTTTATTACAAGAACAAAAGTGAAATGAGAGAAGTCTCTTAACCAAAAGGAAGAAAATTTGACCAAAAACACCAACCTTCTTTGTAGGAAGCTCATAGTTTATGAGAACACGTGCGGAAAGAGGAGATTCTCCAGATGAGAGTAACGGAAGACAAACATCGGTGACAACTACCAAATGAGATTTCTTTTCTTCTTTTCCAGTTTCAATCTCGTCCAAACCTTCTTCTACGACAGAGTTAAGTTGCTGGTTCCAGTTGATTGTTGCTTGCCTGAATTTCTCTATCACCGTAGCTCGTTCTCTATCTGCCAGATCGCTATACTGTAAACATAATAGACACTGAATGTGAACACAATCTAGAGGAAAGACAAATGTGAGATAATCTAATGTTGAATGAACACTAATCATAACGAACAAAAGCAAGGTTATTGACTTATTTCAAATCAAGAACATTGGATCTTCACAGATACAGAAAACTAAGAATCAGAAACCAAAACCAAATAACCAATAAGGAAATATGTTAGAAATGTGAACAAAAGACAATGAAAGATGGTCTAATGTGCAATCAAAATGATTCAAGAAGAAGGGACTCTTTTCAATCAAGAACATTAGATTTCCACAGATACAGAACACAAAGAATTAAGATCGATGCAATCAACCAAACAATCAAAAAGTGGAAATGTGAAAGCTAGAGATATGAAGAGAGATACCAAGGCGGCTAATGAAATGTAAGGAAGGGTGGATAAGGAAGAGCAGACGGCGTCAAGTTCATCACGAGAGCTGCAACAAACTACAATGGGAAGCCATGGACGACGACCTAAAACTCCCAATAGTTCCACAACAGTCTCCTGTACCCTCCCCAAAATTTTGCGATTCAAAGTTTCAGTTTTTATGAGAAATTGGAATGAAGATTTGTAAATTTAAATACCATTTTGAATTGGTGACGATCCACGGCGAGGTAGAAATGCAACTGTTGACTGCGAAAGAACAAAAATTGTTTTTTTGGGGGTGAATTTTGCTACTAGGGGTACGAGATAAACCTCAAAACTCAGTGAGATTGAGACGCGAGACCTGGAACGAGAGGTTGCTTGAAAAGGAGGAGACGGAGCTGCTTCCATGGACTCCATAATCCTCAGGATCAGAAATCTTCGAATTGCCCGATTCGCCGGAGACGGTTCCTCTCCTAAAACCAGGTCACGGTGGCTCTACATACGCCAACGGAGATGTTGGAGAATAAACACCGAAACGTCGTCGCTTTGATGTTATCAGAGTTAATTACCTGATTACCCCTACAACGTCTTCGTTTAAATAAATCATTTATTAGTTTAAATCATTTAAATGGCGTAGTTTCAAGGTTCATTTATTAAATAAATCTTTTATTATCTTTTATTATATACAGTACATGATAGACAATTTAGACATGGCATATAAACGCATAATGATCAAACAAATGTTTATCACAGGACAATTTTTATTGCATTCACAATAATGCATATGATTACACCATCATCATCTTTTATTCTTTATACAACCATGCATTTTCTTATATACGACCAACCAACAAATCAAACATTTTCTTATTATCATAAGTCGGAATTGATTAACTAATATCGTCGAACCGTACGTATTATTACTATACTTTTAGCCATAAGAAGTTCTCCTCATCATCTTCATGAACTCCTCCAAATTAACTTCTCCATCTTCTGCACAAGTTTAAGGCAGAAACATTAGCTTTAGAACCGATTGAACCTTAAATATATATGTGTGTGTTTTGACTTACTGTCACGATCTGCTTCTGCGATCATTTCTTCTATATCATTATCTGTGAAATTTTCTCCCAATTCTTTAGCAATCACCTTAATATCCCGAGGTGAAATCTTCCCCTAGAAATATTTTCCAAAAGTTGGCAAGTCAAACACAATGAAATTAATCCAAACAAGAAGATAATATATATTAAGAAAACTATAGGAAAAAGAAGGACAGGTTTGGGTTTTTATTCACATTATTGTCGTAGTCAATGATCTTAAACGCCTTAGACAATTCGTCTATGGAGTCTCGTTCTCCGAATTTAGTTGTCATCATATGCACAAATTCGTCGAAATCTATGGCTCCACTTTGGTTTTTATCTACTTCTGCCATCAGCTCGTTTATTTGCTATATTTCACCAATAACAACAAAACATATGTAAGTGAAAAATAACATTTCCAATACTATATCAAACCGAGAAGTTTGAAACAGAACAATAAATCTTGGTAGAGAACAAACCTCATTATTCATCTCAAATCCGAGAGACCTGTAACCAGATGATAAGTATTTAGAACTACTTAACTGGAACTTAAAAGAAATTAACTTTGACAAGGAAGAAAATGTGCCGCTGACCTCATAGCAACGTTGAGCTCGCGAGCGTCAATGCTACCTACATATGAAATTATGCACTAACTAAATCATTGTGATTCTGATTTGAACCAGTGTAAATCGGATAAAGGATCGGTTTTTTAGTAGTTTACCTGAACCGTCTATGTCGAAAAGATCAAAGATTTCTCTGATCTCTCGTCTCTTCTGGTTAGTCAACCCATAAGTTTTTCCTTTAGGCTTTAGACCTCTTCTAAGCTGTGCTGCTTCCGACATGTAGTTTGCCTGCAGGAAGACATAAGAAAACAGAACCGATGAACAAAGTAATCAAAAGAACCTAAACTGTTGTTTTATTTTTTGTATTTGAAAGCTGAAAACACTAACCATTTCTTGTGCGGGAAGGAAAAAAGATGCTCTGATTTGATCAGACGAAAAGATTAAATGGATGATTTTGTTAATTTGATTTATGATGCATGAGATGACGAGATTGGTTGGAGCTGATCTGTCTCATTTCTTTTGTCTCGTTATTAACCTTTTCGAAAGCGACTAGCTTAAAGACTTTTAGTTTTGCACGTTTTTGTTTCCTGCTTAAAGAGAATATAATCTATAGAATTTAGCTCACAATGTTCTCATTAGCTACATGTTACAATGACACGATCTAGAGAACACCGAAAGCTTCTTTGATAGCGTGTACGACACGGGAGGAAACTTCTTCCCCAAACATTCTCGGAAACTGCAAATCCAAATCTTCCTCTATGCTCTTCCTTCTAAAGCTTTTATCTCTTCTCTCCAACGCCATTCTCTCTTCTTCCCCAATCACTACCATCTCTTCTTCTTCTTCTCCCTTGGCGGCACAACGCTCCAACCAAACCCGGAGAACCTCCTTAGCAGCTGGACTAACATGTTCTCTCAAGATCTCCTCCAACTTTTCCTCTTCATCCGCATCGATTTTAAGCATGGAAGCAGTAGGAGAGAAAGCAGAACGGACAAAGAGAGAAGGAGAGACATAGGGTTTCACTTGAGGTAGCTTAAGGAGAGACTGGCGATGAGAATCAAGAGCAGTGTCTTGGTAATACTCCTTGAGATAATCCGGGTTAAGAACTAGATCTTTACGGTGTGGAAGGTCGAGGATGAGCACAAGCGACGTGGGACTGCTCTGTATTAGTTCGACCACAAAGTTTGGAGCTCTTGTTGAAGAGTTTAAGAATGCAGAGATGCTTGTTATATTGAGAGATACTCCTGTTGGGATCTTGCAATGAATCCAACTTCCTATAACAAAATCAATCTGAACCACAACAACAAAACTATAAAAAAACAAACTTTAAGTTCCATTACTCCAAGAGGGTTTTCTTAGGGTTACGTTTACATCAAAATCGAAGAGTCATGCAGTTGAACTCTAAAACAAACATGCAAGACAGTCAATTTCGATTTCAAGACAGTCAATTTTGGAAATCTCCTAATAACTCAAAAAGAACAGATGAATTTGTCGCAATGTTACCGGAGATGATTTATCGCCGGATCTGATATGAAGAGATGCTTCAGCGCAACCGTTAGGGTTCATGAAGTTTCGTACATCTGGTGGAAGGCTGCAGGGAAGGAGCTGAGATTGGAGGCGATCCTCAAGCGTAGTCATGAGATCAACCATAAGCTGCTTGCGCGTGGGTGAGACGTACGGGAACTCCAAGAACTTCCGGCGGAGATGATCATCGTCCATGGACTGGGACTGAGCGCGAACTCTGAGTTTGCTTGAGAATCGCGACGGCTTTGTTCGAGTTGAAGTTAACGGTGAGAGAGACGATGGAGAAGAAGAGTAGAGAGTGTTGCAAAATATCATCGACATCTTTTTATATATGTGGCTATGATTAAATTACGAGCCCTTCGTTTTATACTACTACTATACTACACTTTTAATTGTTTTATTTTTACACTTTGGAAAAATATTATTTTACATTTACCGAATCTCGGTAGTTTAGTGATGAATTTGTATTTGTGTCATCATTTATATATCTAAAAGCCTTATTACAAGGCATAATCGTAATTAATATGAAAGAATAAATAAATAATTGTAACGGCTGACAAAAATAATATAATATGAAAATTTAGATGATTAATTAATAAATGAAGATTGTAGTGATATATCTTCTTCTACTCAATCAAGTGATGTAAGTCTTCGCCAACAGGAACTTAATTGTGCTTAGACAAAAATGTTAATATGTATATACTTTTTTATTGGTCTCAAACTCTGGCTATATATAACTAAATTATGCATTTGAATAGATTAATAAATTTATTTTTTTTACTCTATTAATACATTGGGTTTTTACAGGTCACATCCGTTTTTATTACATGTTTGTTTTCCTAAAGAGTTTCTACAATGTTTCTTTGACTTTATTTCCTAACAATCTGTATTGAAAAGATTCAACGGATTACGTAAAAACACGGAAACCACCTACTATTTGCAAAAAAGAAAACATATAAAAAGTAAAAGAAGAAAAGTAAAATTTCTTCATTTTCTTCCTCTTTCAAGTTTCCAACCAATGTACAAGACCTTCTAGACCATAGTATGAATCTATCTAGTCAAAATTTCAAAAATAATATAAAAATTTTTGCAAAAACACCAAATATGTACTAAACTTATTTAATTTTATTAAATACACTAATTAATCCTTATACAATACATGAAAATCCTTATACTTTGCATTTTGATCCTTCTGGATCTTCTTCTTCACTTTTTAAAAAACATATAAAAAACAACAAGAAAATTAACTTTTTCCCTTACGAGAAAAAAAATAGTTTAAGAACAGCCTTCGATGACGTGTCACACGCTGGTTTGGCCAAATTAAGAACAGTCTTGTTCTAAAAACACACTTTTTGGGTTTAGTTGCAGACTTTGCTGCTTTTCCACAAGGGCGCGTGAAAGTCCACGTTCTTTATCTCCGTCATATGGGACCCAGCCACCACATAATTCTTTTCATCCCGGCCCCTCTTCTTTCTCTCTCCTTTCAACCACACCCCAAACAATTTCAATCCTTCACCTACCCCCTCCTCCTCCCTCTCTCCTCCGCCGTGACAACCTTCGCAGTCGCTCTCTTCTCCCTCCTCAGACTCAACCGGTTTGAACTTCCCTCCTTTGATCATCTTCTCGATCTGCTCAGGCTTCACTTTGAGATGATCGGTCAAGAACGTCACTAGCTCGTCTCGCTGCTTCTTCGCCGCCGCTAGCTCAGAGCTCAAGCTGTTGTTCTCTCGCTTCAGCTTCTCGTTCTCTCCTGATAGATCAGCCACCATGTTCTCCACCGAGCCAGGGTTCTTAGACGAACCGGGTGATGACGTGGAGCTTGACCCGTGATCACCACCATCACCACCCGAGTTTGACTCCGACGGCGAACCACCAACTACTACGCATTTCCCCGCCGCCGCGATCACCGACTTACGCCGTCGTATCTCCGACAACAGATCCTCTCCGCCTCTCCGGAAATTATCGTTAGCAAATTCCCATTTATCCGGTACAGTTTTCCGAAAACCCTGCAGAACCAAAACCAAACAAAAAAATAAACAAAAGCTTCTAGAAACATTTCTCACCAACCCCCAAAGTTTGCAAAAATTACGAAACTGTGCCAAAACCAAACTACCTACCAAGAGAATGAATTATTCAATTTCACCATAATAATAATTGAAGGAAGCAATAAATGTAATTTATGTTTTTTTAAATGATACTATATTTTCTTGGTCTTGAAACTCACGTAAGTGTTGAGCTGACGAATGAAGCTTGAGAAGTTATTATGTTTGAAGTATTGAGGAAGAAGATCTTTCGAAAACTCTGCTGTTTTCCACACCACGAAAGCTGTTCCTTCTTCGTTCCATGACACGACGTCGTCTGTGTTATGGTCATCCACTAACTGATACGTTTTACTTAAAAACGGCGCCGGTACAGATCTTTGCGCCGCCGTCACCGCCGTCATCTCCGGCGATTTTTCACCCCAAAAAACAAAAACACTAAAAAAGAATCTAGACAACAGAGAGAATAAAAAGAAGAAGGAATAGAGATGGGATCAAATAAGGATTTAGCAACTAAAGAGCAAGAGAGCGGTGAGAAATTCCCAATCCCAGCAGTAGAAGCCAGAGAGGAAGACACGAGAACGGAGAAGATCGGAGTTTCTTTTGCTTTCTTCCATTTAAGGAAAAATCTGTTGGAGGAAGAAGATGAAGACGACGACCATTATTCGCCGGAGCTAATCCGTGTGGTATAAGTTATTAATATATGAGTAACCTTTTTTTCTTTCTCTTTTGTGTACAAATAAAAACAAGTAAGTAAAAAAGATATATAAAAACTAGTTAAGTGTTATTGCGAAGAGTTGTCTTTATAACGTAGAAAGATTTATAGATCCTCGATGGTATGTCGTCCCTACCTTTGTAATAAGAAGAAAAATTAAAAAAACTGTAAAAGAAAAGGATGCTTGTTTCTAGAAATTCTAAGAAACATCTTTTCTTCTTTCTTTCTTTCTTATCAAAAAATTATTCAAAACTGTCTTATCTTTTGAATTATATTTTCCATTTTTTCACTCCCTTGAATATTTCTTATTCATAATTTGTGGAACTGTAACCCATAGTTTAGTTATGTAATTGTTTATATGACTAGAACATGTTTATAATTGCTAAAAAATATGTTGTTTTAAAACAAATACGCACAAAAAATAAAAGAAGAAATAAATAAAGAATATATTTATTTCTATTCATCTAGAAAGTTTTTAATTTAACAGATATGTTAATGTTTTTTTTTTCAAATATGACGGGAGACAAAAAAAAAAAAAAAAGATATTTATTATAATAGAAATTGCGACTTTGTTTGTTTCTAATATATATCTTTTGTAATATTTTAATGTGTTCACCTAACACAATTTGCCTTTCGATTCACATTGGGGTACCAATGACAATGAGCTTCGTTTTACCTTTTTCTTTTCAAATTTGTATCTTTAGACTAAACCATGTCGGATAATATATTCTAACGTGTGTGTCGTGACAAATCCAAGTTCTTAACATAAAAGTACCTATCGACATCTACGTCTTCATATTCTTGGATTTATTTCCCTAACACCTTTGTCTCTTTTATTCGCATTTTATTATCATTGATACTACTCATACCACCACTGCTATATAAAATACTCGTTTCCATCACAAACGGTAAATCTTATGTAAAGTTATATGAACTTTAGTTTGAGAATATGGACTCTTAGGAAGAATTAATAATCTAAGCAAATCCTAGTATCATCATCAGTTGGAGTAATGTGGCATGTGTTTTCATAAAACGTATTTAAAAGCTGATTCTCTGCAATCAAAATATATTTTCTAGTCAAAAAAGGCGATAGCAAACGTGTGAAAAATTTGTGGATACTTGCATATACTAGTATGGACTTCAAATACATCGTCTATTTTTTAAAAATCATGAATATGTCTCCCTTATGACAAAATTTTATAATGTAATCATTTTTTTTGTTAATTGATTATTTCATTCCATAAACTGTATTCAAATTTTCATTATTCCACAGTTCTTTTATATTTAGAACGGGAAACCTAACTTACTCAGTTACTAGCTAGGACTCACGATTATATATAAACCGGGTTCGTGATTCAGTATACTAATTTTGAAAGTTCAATACTAAGAGCTCCAATTATATATGAAACAATATATTAATGACATTAACAAATGTGTGTAACCTTTTTTCCATGTTGATAGGGCTTTACTTTTCATTTTACTCAAGTTGGAGTATCTCATATTAGACTTGTATACTCTTTCACATTTCCTAATAACGAATTGTTATCTTCTTATTTAATTATGTATTCTGTTAAATTATGCACATGGATAGAGAACATTTTTCGCCACATAGAAAAGTCGGAAATAAACGAGGGGATTTTGACTTCGTGATATACAATTATTATATCCAATTTGATGAATCGAAACTTATCTAAACATGTATTACAAATTCTAGAATAATTTTTTATTTTAACTCACAAATTATAAAATCATTTAAGTTGAACCGTAATATGTATTTTGATTCTATGTTGGGATAATTATATATTTATGATGGTTCTAATTTGTAATTCTATGGATGGTGCAAAATGTACAAAATGAAATAAAATAATTTAAAGGAAAAACACTTAACAAAAAAATGTGTTATGCGGGTGATGATGAGGCGGCGACATTAACAATTTAACATAAACTACTATGTTAAAATTTGTTGGGAAAATTTACTTTTTGGAAAAACTACTAGACCAAAAACACAATCACTTTAAATTTCGTTATCATAAAAATATCTTCAGCCATCACAACAAATTCAATGAACTAATGTTCAGTTTAGGTCTTTGTGTTTTTACCAGTTTTGGACCATTTATTCAGTTCTACTATGGAAAGTTCGAACTCATTTCTACGTTTTAGACCTTTGGTGACATGAGAAGAAACTGAACACTTGACCAAAAAACCAAACTTAAGTCAGACTAATGGTGGCAGCTATTGACACGCGTCAAGCAACATCCATAAAGAAAGAAACATCGATTTAAAACGTATGTCTTTTGTTTTCCACGAATCTCTCTTTTTTTTTTTTCTGATGGAACTTGAAAGATGAGTCTGGTAATGATATATAATTGCGTTTGTTGAGCATTAGAATGTTTGAGTTACATTCCCTGTTCCCATCATATACATATCTTTACTTTTTGAATATATATATTCCCATCTTTAGCTTTTGAGTCGACAAAAACTGTTCATATATAAGTACACTTAAAATCCAATGTAAACTGTAAATACTCCGGTTAATAGAAGTAAAAATGGTACAACCTTGATTCAAACTAACTGTAAATAAAAACTATATGTGTTCTTCTCATGACCTCAAACCAAGTGGTCCAACCAATGAGATATAAAATGCAATCTAATCTTTATGATTAAGCTTCCATATTGTAATTATTATGTACGCCATATGTTAACGTCATACGTTGCTACTACACTCACCTCAAACCAAAATATGATCAGTCACAGCTTCCAGAATTTTTGGGCACCACCACCACTAATTTATGCCTCTACCAATTAGTATAGTTTTCTATCACATATTTTGTATTATAAAATTGATTAGTTACGTATATTGGAATACTTAAAGAATGAAAAGACGTTCACTCGCTACACAGCTCTTTCAACAACCGGTTTGAGGATTTTTTAAGCAAAAATACACATTATTATTTCCTATAAAAACAACTCTATATATATATATATATATATAAATTCTTTTTTCAAATTGTATTATACTAGGGTTTTATACTCGATCACATGCAACATGCATATAGTGTTCAAAAAGTTTGGTCGTCTAAGTGTTTAGCCATTAAAAGAAAAACACCAAAAAACTACTTAACAAAATAAAATCTACTATTTTTTGCACAAATACATATTAAAAAATATAAATTAGAAATTAGTAAACCTCTCGTAGAAGCGGAAGGTTCCATCAAAAATCTTACGCATATAAGCGCTAAGCATTAGCCTTAATAATTGACACGTGGATAAGGCGCAGATCTAATGATCTCTGGAATCGGACGGTTCACATTCTCTGCAAAAGTAGTCGCCGGAAATAAAATAAAAGTTATCGACAAAATTCGCCTGAGAAAGATTTCCCAATTCGAAGAGTTTAATTAGGGTTTCTGAGCTTTAGAGAGCAAGGAAGTGATAACAAAAGATGTGGCACGAAGCGAGAAGATCGGAGAAGAAGGTCCACGATATGATGGACGCCGCTCGGAAAAGAGCACAACGGCGAGCTATTTACTTGGCTAAACGACGTGGTGATCCTATTCAGTCGATTCAAGCCGTTGGTTCTCGATACCGAGTCTTCCGCGATGATGGTCTTTACCAAGCCACCGAGGATCAACAGGGCTTGTAATTAACCCCTAATCGAATAATACTCGTGCTTCGAATTTTGAGAATTTGGCTTTGATTACTTATGGAGTTTGAACGACTTCTGTATCAGGATTCCTTGGAACGGGAAGCAGGATGTAATGATTGATAGGTAATGATTTAGTTCTAGGGTTTATCGAAAATTCATCAATTGCTTGCTTGGTTGTTTTGTGAATTGTTGATTTGAATTAGTGATTGTTGTACTTTTAACGTGTAGATTTGATGGTCGTGCTCTTTTGGATTTTGTGCGTGAGGCTGGTTCGAGAAGCATACGGCCACATAAGAAAACAGAAGAGGAGGAAGAAGTTGAAGAGTTTGTTAATTTTGAGCGTTATCGGGATTTGATTAAGCATCGGCGTAGAGGATGTCGGTACCTTTTTTACTACCACATTTTCTTCCCATAAAATTTGTTTCTTTTTCGGATCTTCGAATCCAATTCAAGGAAAAACACCGGTTCTTCGTAATCAAAATTCAGAGTAGTTGAGAGATAAGTGTCACTGGGATAATGCTTCATACTGTGAACAGTTTCTGATGAGGAGGGGTTGCTACATGTCCATCAAGAGCTCGAGGCCAAACTTGCTGCTCCTTTCCTAGGGGCTAGGTACATTTTCACCCATACTCTGAAAGTTGTAGTTTTCCTGTACTCACTTGATTTTCTAGTTACTCACAATTTGTTTCTTGTTTTTGTATGTTTGGTAAAGATCCCAACCAGCTCAACCACCTGCAAACAAAGGAACGTATTCGCAGGTTGGATTTTCTTATGCGGGTAACGGAAAAGATGAATCATTGGATGCGGACGATGATAATGATGATGACGACGAGGATGACGAGGATGAAGAGGAAGAATTTGACAGTAATGACAGTGATGATGAAGGAATGGAAACTATTGCTAAACAGTTTGGCGTAAAGCGATATGGGTGGCTGGTTTATATGGACAAGAAGGCAAAAGAGGAGGAGAAAAGGCAAAAGGAACTCATCAAAGGCGATCCTTCAATTGTAAGTTGCAAGGCTCGTGTTGATCTATGAAAGTTTATGTCTTCCTTTTGTTTTGATCTCTTTTCTTTGCTTATCTACTAATGATTATGAACTGAACTGAAATTCATGAAAATGCAGAAGAAGTTAAGTCGCAAGGAAAGAAGAAAAGTTTCAAGGATAGAGAGAGACAGAGAAAAAGAAACGTCAAGGATTGTTGGAAGGCAAATGATTCATCATGATCCCTACAGGTAAGATAGCATAACACATAAGAAAGCAAAAGCCAAAAGGTACATTTAACTCATTGACATGGTGCTTCTAACTACACAGGGAGTCTCGTAGGAGTCCTACTTATGAGGCTTATCCGCGTTCAAGAAGGTTTGCCGTTATTAGCTTGTTATTTTTTCATACCAGCTTGGAAACTGGACAGTGATTCCTGATCTTTCTTTCCCGTATCCACAGATCAAGATCCAGATCCCGGTCATATTCTCCATCATACTCGCGACGGAATGGGCGTGGAGATCATTCTGATGAAATCAGCCAACCAAAAATCGAATATATTACAGAATTTGGAGGAGGCTCTGGAGATGTGAGAAGTCCAAAGTTCGAAGGATATTCACCACCGCGTTCACCGCCATCTCAGTCTGATTCATTAAGCCGGTCGGAGCACTTAACTTCTAGTTATTGCAAAGATAGTCACTTACTCCCCACTTGTTGGTTGAGGAAAACTTCTGTTGTTGTAGAATAAATTGGCACTAGAATAGCACCAAGGGAGAGATAGAATCGTCCTTTCTAGAACCGCTTTTAAAATTAAATATAATTTGCTAATTATAATCGATTGAGTAGGAAACTATAATATTCTATATCCCTGCAGACCGGGCCATATCCTTGAGGCGCTGCATGTTGATCCTGCATCTGGTGTATCCTTTGAGAAAGACAAGATTGTTAAACCAGCTAAACCGACAGTGAGGTATGGATGAGATTGAATAATTCTAGTTTGTTTTGTGTGTTATGTATCTTCCGTTAGTTTCTGTGGTTGTGAATTGGGAACCTTGACCTTTTTTCTTCTTCTAATTTCAGTACTTCCACAGCACTAGCGAAGCTGTCCAAAGCAGGTACCTCTTCTTTGAAGCAGACGCAAGCAGAGAAGAAAGAAACTCCCCAAGAACGACTAAAGAGAATCATGAACAAACAGCTAACGAAGCAAAGTAAGATCTTAAGTGCTGTTATGTTCATTACGACTAAAATTATTCCTATTTGCTGTGAGAAACTGAGATGGTGGATGAATCATATTGTACACAGTTAAGAAAGACTCTGCAACAGAGACAGCTAAAAAACGAGAACAGGAGCGACAAAGGCTGGAGAAACTAGCGGAAACAAGCCGTTTAAGTCGGAATAGGCATCGCAGCCGTAGTAGGAGTTATAGTCGATCACCACCACCGAGGTTGTTAATAAAGTTATCATTTTTTCTTCGTGATTAGAATGAGGATTTGTGAAGATGAGAAGGAAGTTTTCGGTTCTAGAGCTCTGATTGGATCTGCTCTCTCTCTCGACACTCACCAACACAGTTGACTTGCACAGATTTAATTGCTCCTTCTCACATTTGATTTTCTTTACTAAAATGTTTTGTTTGCAGAAGGCACAGACGAAGCCGAAGCAGAAGCAGAAGTAGAAGCAGGAGATCGCGGAGGCACGGGTCAAGGTCACGATCTAGGTCACCATCAAGGTCGCTATCACGCTCTCCCAAACGCTCACGGAGACGTTCTCCATCTTATTCAAGGTCTCCCAGGTAAAAAAAAAGAAAAAAAAAGAAACAGATGGCAAGCTTTACATGTTTGTCGTCGAGAATGGTGTCATTGGCCCTTTGCTTTGCGTATATATAAAAATAACATACTGGGTGTTTTTGCAGGCGAAGAAGCAGGTCAAGGCACTGAAGAGAGGCAAAACTCATTGTTGAGGCAACGGGTTTGTTTTTGTTGCCTCTTTTTTAGTGTTTTTATTTATGTGTGTTTTCTTTATCCTTACTTTTCTCTTCTGGATAAAAATGATTGTCTGGGACTCGATGTTATTTACTTATTATTATAATCCAGTGGTAGAAATATGATTTTGTGGGACGACAAATAAACAAAGTTTTCATATTGAGTCTTTTAGAAACTATAAGATGTTATAAAAGAACATAATGATGATATATATAGTAAATGAATTACGATTTCTAACAAAGTAATGGTGATATTAAGTGAGAACTCTCTTTGTCTCTAGGTTTATGGTTTTGTTTTGTTCCGAAAATAAATGTTGGATTATTTAACAAATGTGTGTTTGTCGTTTGTGCGTGACCGTCCCCATGCGTTTTCATTGTTTGTGAAAGCGTTGCTTACTAAACTACACAAATCTCCACCGTATTATATTAAAGTCTCTCATAAGTTTTCATTAACTTTGATAAATTAGTTTCAGCTCTTTGGACTTGTAAGTACACAGCCCTCTTAAGTGTTGCTTCTTTCTAAGGAAATTGTTTTAAGCTACAAAGATTGTCATACGTACAACTACATTGAGGAAACGAATAGTAAAGGCTGGTCCCAGATAACCATAAAACTCAAAGCTTGCGGCTTTGAACTGTCGAGAACAGTAGAAGAAACTAGCAATGGTCTCTTTCGTCATTAATAGAATCTTCTCATATTCCTTTTTTTTTCTTCTTATATAAAACATTCAATTGAATAAGGAAAGAGGAAAATAGTTGGATCATTATGAGTTGAATTATATACTTAACCATGAAAAAACATGTTCAAGTTTTTGGAATTGCAAATAAAATATGGACACGCGCAGCATGGAAGCATACGAATTGGTTTATATAAACAATGAAAGCACACGTGAATTTAGTTGATTAATATAGATTCCAATAGTTTTGTGATGGAATTAGAGAGATAAGAAGGATATGAATGAAGGAGAATAAAAAAATCAACGTTCAAAGTGGTAGGAGCCGAGTCACTCACTATATATCATGCGTCAGTCAGTATTGGGTGGGATACATGGGGTTTTATTAATTGGACCCATTCTCTCTGATTTTTTTGTTTTCGTTGTCGAAATTGTAGTATTATTATTATTTGGTAAAATTGATAGCTTTGTTTTGTTCGAAAAATAAATGCCTACAATAAATAACAACGAGACTAGTGTGTGTTGTCGTGTGTATGTGTGCGCGCGCTTGAACATCCATCCCCATGCGTTAAGAGCGTAGATAACGTGATATTGACTTCTTTTAAATTTTCGTAACTTCATCACTAATCCATCCACCACACCACCATCTGATATTCTGATGAGTTTCTTTGGAATTGTAACTCTACTTAAAGCCTAAAGTCCGGAGGCTTTGAAGAATCATTTAATCATTTCAATGAATTTTTTTAACAAAATGGTACTTATCTTCAGTCGTTTATCTAATTTATTAAATGAAATTCGAATGTACATTTAGGGTTGACTGTTTAGGGTTGAGAATCAATTAAAACTAGTTTTTTTTTTTTCAACGCAATTAAAACTAGCTAAAGAAGTCATTAAATAACTACTTAATTTATGTCAACGGTTGTAGAGAAACAATTATTATAATTTATAAGAAATGGAACAGAAAGATCTTTGTCATTATGTACATGAATTATATATTTCGTCCAACTTGACAAACACCAATTCATCATGGTCATTTTCTTTTTTGTTGCGGGGGCAACAGTCAATTATTCTTTATAAATGCAATAGTTGTACCTTAACTTGTTACAATACCATCGATTATAATGAATAGAGATCAGAGAGTTATCTAATAAAGTTGGGAATATTTAGGTCTTCAACTCAAATATTTGTCAATTCATATACAACTGTAATATCCATGCCGTTATTTGTAACAACCGCAATTTATTGTCTATTAAATTTATCTTAACCCTATGGCAAATATGAAAGAGAACATTAGAAGAGTGTTATGCATGTAATCAAAAAGTGTACACATTTTATTTTTACCTTCATCACCATTTTTCAGTTATCAGGTCCTTTCTTATCTTTCTACTCTACTTGGTACAAAAACTTAACTCACCCTTTTATAATAGCTTCTTTAATCTTGTGTTTAAAATGTTGGTCACACTCTACGAAATTCTACAGATCTGTTTTGACTAATAATGGTATGACTCTACCAAAGTACCAATGATATGTAATAATAATGGAGACTACATATTAGTGCAAGCTTTAGGGGGGCTACAATCCTGCTTTTTTAGGTCTGCAGGAGCTACAGTTACAATTTCTATATACTGTAAAAAGAATAACATCAAAGTGAAAAAAAGGAAAAAGATAAAAAAAAAAGAAAAGAAGCAGAAGCTAGTTAAGAGAAACGACAAAAGAGTCTGAACTTATCGAAAAGAGCAGACGATGTCACATGGAAGAGTTGTGGCATTGTAATAACGGTACAGAGGAATTGGATGGAAGACAAATAAGAAGAAAGAGATTTACCAAAACTAACAAACAAAGTAACCTCTAAGAGCACCTCCAATGGTAATCAATTTTTTAAAATTAAATTTTCAAAAATAGTGCTTATGTGTTGCTTATAATCACAACTTAATTTATAATGCTTACAATATTTTTCTTTTTTATAATTATAATCATTACATATAATGATAAGCAATGTGTTAAATATACATTAACCATCTCTATTGGAGGTGCTCTAACGTCAGTTAAACATGTCCAAATCTTGTTTCTTCTTCTCCAAAAAATTTAACATTGAAGAGTGTTGTAATAAGAAAAGGCTAAATTACATTATCCCAAATAAGTCAGTTTCAACTTGATCTATCCCATATACAGTAGTAGTATAAAGAGTTTTTTTTTTTTTTTTTTTTGTTTTGTGGGTGTATGATCGGACCAGCCACGACACTTGTCTTGTCTTAATGCCAACACACAAAAAAAAAAAATCTCTCTCCTCTCTCTATCTCTATCTCTATCTATCGAGTATCGACTCTCAAAGTTCTCACCTTTTGAGATTATTACAAAGAACACAAAAGTACAGTTTCTTTTATTCTCTCTCTCTCTTTTGAACACTTTACATCATCACTCTTGAACACTTCTCAATCTCCGGTCAACAAAAACATGAGTTCGATTTCTTAAAAAAAAAGAAAGTTCCATTCTTTCCAAACTAAATCTTAAACCCAGCTGAGATTTGTTCTTTAAAGGGAGTCGACAAAAACATGAGAAAGACTTCATCAAACAGTTTCGGTGGGTTCTTAAGTCCCGGAGCTCCGAGTTACGCCGATAACAAAGGTTGGAGCTCCGAGAGAGTTCCCCATCCTTCCTCAACTACTTCCTCCGCTGCGATTAGTGGTGGTCGTCGTCACATAGGCTCAGCCTCAGCTTTAACGACACCGTTTTACAGCGGTAGAGCAATACCGTCGAAATGGGAAGACGCTGAGCGGTGGATTTGCAGCCCTGTGGCGACATACCCACAAGGTGTTTGTAAAAATCCCTCAGTGACTTCTCAGTTTTCTGAACAGAGGCGTCAGAAATCTAAAAGCGGTCCGATTGCTCCGCCTACGCTGCCGCATCCGCATCAGCATCCGACGTCTTCTTCTTCGGCTATTGGGTGTTATCACTATTCTCCGAGGATGATGATGCGTTCTATGGATGGTCCTCCCAAGGGTTTAATGGTGGTTGGTTCACCCTTCTCCACTGGTGTTTTGGAGGCCGATAGGGTTTTTAGAGGGAGTGTCGGTGGTGGTGTTTTTGATGGCTATGGACATGGACCTGGACACGGACATAGCCGGAGCTGGGTTGATTTGATGAGTGAAGAAACTTCATCTCTTAGTTCCAAAACTGATACAGGTAATAATAGTCTCTCTGTCTCTTATCCTCTTAACTTAACAAATCTGAGATTAGTCCTCTTTGCTTCACAAAACTGCAAAAAGACTCTCTCTTTTGGAAAGCTTTAGATCTTCAAGATTGAGCTGATTCTTACAGAACCATGTCCAAGATCTAAGCTTTGTTGGTTTTTTGGAAATATGTGCAGAGGAGAAAGCAGAGATGATGACGGCTGTTCAATCTCCGGTGGTTTCAAGAAGAGATATAGCTACTCAGATGAGTCCGGAAGAGACGAGTCCTAATAACAATAATCAGTCACCACCGCTGGCTGTTTCTGTGATTGAGCCTCCTCCTTGTAGAGCTGAAGTGAGAGAAGTGAAAATGGATAAAGGAGCAAAGATGATTAAGCGTCCAAAGAGACGAGTAATGTCTTCTAGGATTATTAGGAGAGAGCAACCTGAGGTTGAAGATAACTCTGAAGCTTCTGCGTCTTCCTCTTCTTGGGATATCTCAGAACCAGCCATGACTCTTTCTAAGTAATCAAAGTTGTATCTATCTTTATATCTGTTTTTCTTGGTCAGCCATTAATGTAGAATAATTGCAGGTTGCAAAGAGAGGAAGCGAAGATAGCCGCTTGGGAGAATCTGCAGAAGGCGAAAGCAGAAGCCGCCATTAGAAAACTCGAGGTCTGTTCTCCTTCACTTACTTGTATAAGCTCCGCCTCATAACCCAACTACAGATCATGAACAATTACTATATACTGAAGTGTATTTGGCTTTTGAATCAACAGGTCAAGCTGGAGAAGAAGAAATCAGCATCAATGGATAAGATACTGAACAAGCTTCAAACAGCCAAGATAAAAGCACAAGAGATGAGGAGAAGTTCAGTATCCAGTGAACATGAACAACACCAACAAGGGAATCATCAAATCTCCAGAAACTCAGTGAAGATCACTCATCTTGTCCGAAGACATACTTTCATGACCCCTTTCATGACTTGCTTTGCTCCTCGTGTTGATTGCAGAAAGTCTTCTTCTGCTCTATAAATTTTTTTTATTTAAAAGGCGATTTGAACAAAGAAAAACAAATGTACACTGCAAATTTTTCTTGTAAAGCTTTGTCTGTTCCAATTTTTTAGTTGTCTACATAATAACACAATCACAAAGAAGGTTCACTGGTTCCCAGGTAAAACATAAACAAAAGCTTCAATTAAATGGATCCTGCGGATTCTGAAGTCTATCTGACAAGCGAAGTTTATACAAATGACAAAGGCCAAAGCTAATGAGATATATTGGTCTGGTGCATTAGTAAGGCCGGTACCTCCAGTCTGATCTTGATGGTCGTGCGTGTGCATTCGGCATTCCATATCCCCACTAGCAGATTTAGTTTAAAACGAAATGAATCAGAATAAAATTTAAAGAATGAATCTTTGAATAGAGTTTTCAGTTATACACTCACATCGTCCAAACTCATGCCTCCATACATTCGACCAAAAGTGCGCATTGGACCTCCATAACCACCAATATATTCAGGACGTGAAGAACTTAACATGGAACTTCCACCGGCGCTAGGTCCAGCTTCATCAAGAGGTGTTGCTGAATCTATGGCTACCTAAACCCGAATATCAGAAATAATGTAGCTTCTTTAAACATCTGATAAGTTATTGTGCTACGCCTAATATGCTAAAAAGCATCGATTATAAAGCTTGTCTTTACCTCTTGTCCACAGATTTCATGAGATCTTCGGGCTACACGATCTGCAACACCATTTTCAGCAAAAGTAACAAATCCGAAACCTCTATGTCCACTTCTCTTTGGGTCCTATAAGAAAAGAGTTCAATACAGACATACAAACATTTTCTGAAAATGTTCAGAGTAAACTTATCTCACCTTTGGAATATAAGCATCTTGAATACGGCCAAATCTCGCAAAATAATCACGTAAATCATCAACGGATGCTTCTTGAGGAAGCCGTCCAACAAAAATCTTGTTTCCCATTCCCCTTGTGGTTGGTTCGCCTCCTAAAAGTGAAAATCCCTTTTAACAAACTGAGAACTGTTTTGTTTCTAATTAGTATATTTGGTATTATATGGTAAGTAGTCTTACTTCCATAGAACGAGGCCGGATTATCATACAAAGTAGGAGCACCAAGCGCTGCATATCTTGTAGCTGCAGAAATATAAGCATCATAAGCTCCATAACCACCTGGAGCTCCGAATCCACCTGCAACAGCCACGGGTGGACGCGACATTCTAGCCACTGGTGGTGGCCTAGGCGGATGATCATCCTCTTTTGGTGTTGCCCGATCAACAGCAACCGTCGTACCTCCCAGATCATGAGTGTGTTCCATCAGATCCTCCACTGAATCTGAAATCACAATATAGAAGGGTTTCTTCTGAATCCAAACTTTTACAAATAGGTTAAAGATAAACTAAAACTGTGACAGTATCTACAGCCGGAATCGCATATGTTAGTTTCTTATGTCTTCTTTACACGAGTATGAGTCTTAGAAATTAAACTTGTAAAGAAGGTTCTGTCGTCAAAACAAATAAAGTCAAGTCTGGAGAAGATTCAAGCAAAAACTGACCAGCACTAGAGAATGTGATAAACCCAATTCCTCTGTGTTGCTTCGAGTTGTGATCCTAAAACAGAAAATGTGGAAATAATATCAAATCCAACAGGCACGAAAAGCTAAAGGATTGGGACAGATCTGACCACAAACTCTTCAAATTGTTGGATACTATCAATACAAAATTCAATAATGATAGAATACCTTAGGCATGTATAAGTCTGTTATTTCCCCATACCTCTCAAAATGGCTGCATAACAGTACACAAGGAATACTTACATTTTCCACAGCTATGAGAAACCATTCTGAAAAAATGAAACACATTAAAGCAACTTGGAATACCTTCGGAAATCTGATTCAGAGACTGAAGAAGGGATTCGAGCAACAAAAATCCTTGTCACCTTTTTTGCAGGCTGTCTCATCTCTTCCTGGCACAATAACATAACCTTATATGAACATAACCCTCTTGAACAAAGATTATAGGAAATAAAGTCATGTCTTATACGATTCACAAAACTCATGTAACCAACCTTTGGTGTAGCCACTTTTACTTCCAAGATCCTGTTCCCTAAAAAGTGTTCTCCTTTCAAAGCGCTCTACAAGTGTTCATACAATCAAGCAGTAAGACAGAGTTTCTAGTAGACAAACGTATCCAGTAACCATTGAAACAGTATATGCAACTCGTAATAATATACCTTTGCATCATCAGCTGCAGCAAAAGTGACATATCCAAATCCACGAGATCTTCCAGTTGATCGATCCTAAATATAACACATCATCAGAATAGTGTATCACTCTTCGTGACATTTCTCAAGCAATGTAAACTCAAAATGCCAACCTTCATGACAATACAATCCTCTACGTCTCCAAATTTTGACATGTAATCCTTAAGCCCTTCGGAATCAATATCCCACGGGATACCCAAAACCTAAAAAAGCAACGAAATTACATATAGAAGCATCGCAGTTACACAATTTAGACAAATCTACTGGAATTTACACCGAAGCGATGAAGGAAATGTAAACAAAAAGTTCAAAACTTGAGCTCAATGCGAGTAAAGAAATCCAATCACCACAAGCTTCCGTTCCATGAGAAGAGACTAATGTAGATCTGGAGAAGAATTGAAACCCTAAGACACTCAAAAAAACCTCTCTTTACTCTGGGAGACCACTCTTCTCTCCTCCTAAATCTCTCACACTCGTCTCTTCCTCTTCCTCCTGCAAACCACAAGCACATCTCTTTCTCACACACAGTTATCATCAAACACCAAATCATCATTTTTTTTTGGGGAAGGGCATACGGATTCTCTCCGATTACAAACAAAAGAAACTTAAAGTTTTAATCTTTTTAGATTCATTGCGAAATTTCGAAACTCACACACTGACCTTTTGAAATATCTCTCTCTCTCCCACAACGATACCCTAAACTGGCAAGACCCTTTCTCTGGATTTTCGTTTTGAAATCTCTCTCGCTCTAATTTTGTCAATCTGTAAGGAGAAATCGAAGATGGGAACTTTCCGGCGATAAAACGTTTCACCGTCCATCGTAGCTCCGCGATTGCTGACACGTGTCGAGCATTCATGTCGTTTGCCGGTAAGCCCATAAGTCTAAGTAATCTTTAGCAGGCCTTATAACAACAACTGAGTCCTCGTAATGGGCTTGAAGCTTTTCACCAAACATAACAAACTAAATTATAAATAAGAGATGTAGCTTCTCAATTAGCTAAATCTAGTATGACTATGTATGGAGTTTTAAAACCAAAATAAGATATTTGTCAATGATATTGATTCTAAACTAATTATGTACACATTTTTCATTTGATATTGGCAGATAGTGTATCATGTATTCTGTTTGGTTTATCTTTTATCTCATTTGTTTTTCTTGCATGGTTTTACCACGTGAAGCCTAAGAAGACACTTTAAAATTTTGGTTTTAGTTGCTTTTGTTACCGTTTCATTTTGATAAATTATTTTATTAGTTAGCTTGTATAAAGTATTTTTTCTTATCTAACTAATTTTGTATGTGTTTACCACGTGAAGTCTAAGAAGAAATTTTGAAATTTTGTTTGTAGTTGTTTTTATTACCGTTTCGCTTTGATAAGTTATTTTATTTGTTAGTTTATATAAAATCTTTGTTCTTATTTAATTAATTTTTTATGTGTTACCACTTACCACGTGAAGTTTTAGAAGAAATTTTGAAATTTTGTTCCTCGAGACCGTTTTACTTTGAGAATTTATTTTATTTGTTAGTTTGTCTAAAATATTTGTTTGTATCTAATTAATTATTTATGTGTTTACCACGTGAAATCTAAGAAGAAAATTTTGAAATTTTGTTTGTAGTTGTTTTTGTTACCGTTTCGCTTTAATAAGTTATTTCATTTGTTAGTTTGTATAAAATATTTGTTCTTATCTAATTAATTCTTTATGTGTTTACCACGTGAAGTTTTAGAAACAAATTTGAAATTTTGTTCCTTGAGACCGTTTCACTTTGAGAAATTATTTTATTTGTTAGTTTTTATAAAATATTTGTTTGTATCCAATTAATTTTTTATGTGTTGAAACACATGAAATCTAAGAAAAAATTTTGAAATTTTATTTGTAGTTGTTTTTGTTACCGTTTCACTTTAATAAATTATTTTTTTGTTAATTTGTAAACACATTTATTCTTATCTAATTAATTTTGTATGTGTTTACCACGTGAAGCGTAAAAACAAAATTTATAATTCTAATTGATATTTACAACTTCTTTTAATTACCGTTTTCTCTACAATATGTATTATTATTTTTAACTAGTTTTTTATACGCGTTATGTTTTAAAAAAAACATTCATACGTATCTCATTTTTCTCTCTTGCGTTTACCACGTGAAGCCTACAAACAAAAATTTGAAACGGACTTTAATATTTGTAACTTTTCTTCTTTACCAATCATTCTAATTAACAATTGTAACTTTTTGTAAATTTTAAACCACAATTTTTTATTTTATTTTATAACTATTCACTCTAGCAACTTATTCCACTTATTATGATCTATAAGTTTGCACAACTGTTATAACATTAATTTCTATTTCAATTTATCCCTATTTATTTCTACAGTTTTGTGCGGCGGTATACACAAAATACTAATTTTCATAATGGGTGAAGAAGGTTGGTGCATCTAATAATGGTAACCGGTCGAGTTTAGAGTAATAAAAAGAAAGAAGTCGCCATGCAATTGTTATCGTACGTTTAATCATTGACCCATACTTTCACTTCGGGTGGGAAATATCAAACTTAACTATTAACGTTCGTGTGATGTGTGATCTTATTTTGACCCATTTCAGTCGTCTACGGGTCTTTCTTCTAAATGTGTATTATTGTTATTCACACGCCATTTTGTTAATTGTTTTTGGCAACTACTTCACAGTTCACACTATTTCGTCTCACCTAAATTTTGTACTAATTAAGACTTAAGTACAAGTATTGGTCGTTTTTGTTTTGTTTAATTCTGACGACCATCGTAGTTTAACTACTTGAAGCTTATCAATAATACGAATAGCAATTCATAGGATTTGTTGGCAAGTCACGGTTGTCTTTAACTATAAGGCACTTGAGAAAGTGTTAGTTGCATTAATTAGGGGTTTCTGGTACTTTAATTAAATGTTAACATGTCTTTTAAATTTTTATCAAACTTTTATTACTGATGTGGACTTGTCATACCAAAAAATGTTCTAGGTTTTGCTAATTATTGTTAATCCGCATTTCTTTCCATAGAAGTGGTATATTGAGATCGGTACGTATGTAATTATAGTTACTCTAACAACCCAAAATGATTTAGAAACATTTATTAGTTTCATGAATATTCCTTCATCTTATGTATAACAACATACTGTATCAAGGGAAATCAAACTAATTTTATTATATGTTTCGAGAACATTATAAAATTGGAAACGATCAAGTTATCCGAAACTTCCTACCAAGTTCAGTTTGAATTATATAGTATCGGTTAGATTATAATATTTTGAGCATGCCATGTTGTTAATGACATGTGGATGAGATTTTCACAAATTTTCTCTTAATTCAACACTGTTTCTACAAGAGCAAAAATCACTCGTCACCCTCAAAATTTTGACCTTTTATATGATCAATAATAACCAATATTCAGAGCCATATAAAATACCTCACACGTTAGGGGGAATAAAGAATATATATCTATAAACAAAATTGATAGAATCTTCCATCCGATATTTACGCTACTTAATAAAAAAACGCGAATCACATGGTAGATCTTCAAACAAACGTGTAGAACTACAAATCTAATTTACCAAAAAAAAAAAAAAAAACAGAAAATAATCAAACATTTATAAATAAAACATCTTTAAAATTTATTATGCCTATTAAATTTTACAAAATAATTAAAAAAAAATATATCTTTTATAGCTTCAAAATCTAAAACATTAGGTATTATGGAAGATTATATCTTATAAAAATATTTAAAACCTACATTTTTATAAGAAAATCATTTAATTTCCTTATCTTTTTATAGTGCTATAGGTTATTTTAATTAAAGATATTTGGTTCCTATTTAAAAGTTAAATATGAGGTGTAATATACTGTATATATAATTAAGAAAAAAAACTAGAGTGAAGCAAAGAACAAGAGTCTTCCTTGGTTCTCTTCACACCTCACACAACACAACACACGTTTTCTTTATGGACCGCTATTTCTTCTCCTAGCCAAGAGCTGTTACATATAATTTGGTAATAATAAATAAAAATCAAATAAATAAAAATTATTATACTTATATAATCACGTGCATTAATTACATAAATACACTTGTTCACAACAAACTATTTTACTTTTTTTTTTTTTTTTGCTTCTTTCTTCAATTAAAAAAAGGGAAAAAAATCTCATCAAAGATTCAAGAGTATATATAAAAACAGAAGTAGGGTTGGAGATGAAGAAAGTGTAAAGAAACTGTTTCATAATACTTTTTATTATTATTATTCTTTAGATTTTTTGCTTTGAGCTCTAAAATGGAGTGGATTCGTAGAGAAACAATTGGTCATGGAAGCTTCTCCACCGTTAGTTTAGCAACTACTTCCGGAAGCTCTGCAACGTTGTTTCCGCCGTTGATGGCTGTGAAATCATCGGGAGTTGTTTGCTCCGCCGCGTTGAGGAACGAGAGAGACGTTTTAGATTACCTCGGCGATTGCTCTGAGATCGTGAGGTGTTTTGGAGAAGGGAGGACGGTGGAGAACGGGGAAGAGATTTACAATCTGTTTCTCGAGTATGCTTCCGGCGGTAATCTGGCCGACCGGGTTAAAAATTCCGGTGAAGCTTTGCCGGAGTTTGAAGTGAGGAGGTTCACGAGATCGATTGTGAAAGGGTTGTGTCATATTCACAAGAATGGTTTCTCTCATTGTGATTTAAAGCTTGAGAATGTGTTGGTTTTTGGCGATGGTGACGTCAAGATTTCTGATTTCGGGTTGGCTAAACGGAGGAGTGGCGAGGTTGGCGTTGAGATTAGAGGGACGCCGTTGTACATGGCACCGGAGTGTGTGAACCACGGCGAGTTTGAGTCTCCGGCGGATATATGGGCTTTGGGATGCTCTGTTGTTGAGATGTCCAGTGGCAAAACGGCGTGGTGTTTGGAAGAAGGAGATATGATGAGTAATGTCATGTCTTTGATGGTACGTATTGGTTCCGGTGAGGAGGTTCCGAGGATACCGGTGGAATTGTCGGAGGAAGGTAAAGATTTCGTGAGCAAGTGTTTTGTAAAAGACGCGGCTGAGAGATGGACGGCTCAGATGCTTTTGGATCATCCGTTCGTAGCCGTTGATGATGATGGTGAGGAGAGTGGGTCTTTGAGTTTGAGGTGTGGCGAAGAAGAAGAAAAAGCTTCGGTTTCACCGAGAAACCCTTTTGATTTTCCCGGTTGGAATTCGGTTCAATCTCCGGTTAACGAGACGGTTACGTTCAGGTCATTGGTAAGTTCGCCGGAGGAGAGGATCAGTGGTTTGGTCAGTGAGATGCCTGATTGGTCGGTGTCGTGTGATTGGGTCAACGTGAGGTGAAGAATGGAGTTAGTTTTATTTTTTCTTTGTTGTGGAGAAAGGACCAAGTCATTTCTGTTGTACGAGATTATTATGGGGTCTCGTTTTTTTAAAATGTTTGACGGTCATGATTTATAATCCTTTTTTTCTTTTTTTGTTTAATTTAGCTCGTTGACTCATGTAAATACATTTGAAATTAGAGAAGATTCTTGGATGATGAAACTGAGAGTTTTTTTGTGCGCCATATGTTAACATTCATTGTTACAACATTCATTGTTACAACTAATCAGTCTTTTGTAACAGAGATTATTGTCTGAATTCGGGAAAAAAAAAAAAAAGAAGAAGCTTTGATGAATTATCTGTCGGTTATTAGATTTAATATGAGAAAGTTGTCAGAATGAGAACCAATTCAATCCTACAAGAAGAAGCCTTTTTGCCACCGACTTAACTTAAGTATGTTCTAAAATGCTGGCTTTTGTAATAAAGATTTAGTGTAAGATTCGATTTAATTATAGGGATTAGAGAGGATAGTTTAATACAGTAATTGCTATGCAGGGGAAGGTTTCAGTTTGGTTTTGGTTGAAGTCGGTTTGTAGCCAACCGAAACAATGGCGACAATAGAAATTGGGCCCTAAAGTCCCTTTTTAACAGATAATATAATTGGGCTTTTGACTTGGAATGAGCCATGAGGGAAGTAATTAATTTCCTTGTGTTGCAATCTTAAATTTAAACCATACTCTCTCTACGATATAAATTCAAGGGTGATACATTTGAACGTGTATACTCGTTCTTTATGCATCTTTACAGATTCTCCTGATTGAATATTATCTCTACTAAGAAGAAAAGTCAAGGAAGACTCGGTCTAATTCACGATAATACATGACTGTTCTTTGCACATATATATAATTGCACATGGTGATAGAATATTTTAAAACAAAGTATGTAATTGATTAATTATAGAGAATCATACCACTTTTAAACGACCAAAAGGATCATAAAAGTAATTGAAATTTTGATAAATCAAGAAAATTCCAAATTCCAAAGTAACATCTGTTAATTAAACGCCGCGTTTTAGTTAAATTTATCATACAATATCCCATCACTTGAAAGAAACATTCGCATTTAACTCCATACATTTTGAGTACTCTCTCTCTCTCTCTGTTTCTTTCTTCCTTCAACAACACATCAAAAACTTACAAAAATGGGATCCAATATCTTGTTTAATCTGATGCTCATAGCTTTATGTTTATTACCGTTCGGTCACAGTCTCGAGGTTCTTCTTTTACATACTTCTCCTCTTATGTTAAGGAATCTTTTTTTTTTGTTTGTTAGTAACAGAGAGGTTGTTTTTGATTTTGCTAAACAGATGGGAGAAACATGTAGCCCGAGCAGCAAATGCGACGCCGGATTGAGTTGCCAGAGTTGTCCTGCGAATGGTAACACCGAGTCTACTTGTACCCGGATCCAACCACTCAACCCGACTTCAAAGGTTTCCTTTTACAACTTTCTTGATTTTGTTTCTTTTGGTTCTTGAGTCATGTGATGATGGATTTTGCATGTGGTTTTGATGATGGATAGGTGAATGGTTTGCCGTTTAACAAGTACTCGTGGCTAACTACACACAATTCGTACGCAATCACGGGGGCAAATTCGGCAACTGGCTCAATCTTGCTCTCCCCTAAGAATCAAGAAGACTCAATCACCAACCAGCTTAAGGTCCACGCTTCATCTTTTACTTTTTACTTTGACGATTTCGCATTAGAATTTTCCTTGCTAATTTTGGTATTTGACTTAATTTGCAAGTATCTTTTTTTCTTTGCCTTAGGTTTTAATAAACGACAATGTCTGCTTTAGTTGGTGGCTTTCAATGAAACTCTTTTTGTTATGTGAAAGATCAACTTTTTTTTTTACTTTCCACGTGTAACAATGAAACTCAGATCCGATTTTTTGACCTTTTCCTCAATGATTTGTTCTTTACATGTTAGTTTGTGAATGTGTGAACTGTCACTATGATTTGATTATTAATTGACATTAGGAGTTTGGTTGTTGTTGCAGAATGGTGTGAGAGGGATTATGCTTGATACTTATGATTTTCAGAACGATATATGGCTTTGTCATTCCACAGGAGGGACTTGCTTTAACTTCACAGCCTTTGTAAGTTGCAATTGAATCATTTGAATTTGGATTATGACTCAAGAAAAAAATCTATTAACGAATTAACCTCTGCAGCAACCGGCTGCTAATGCGCTCAAAGAGATTAATGACTTTCTTGAATCGAACTTATCTGAGATTGTTACCATCATTCTTGAAGATTATGTCAAGTCTCCTAATGGTTTGACTAAGGTACATTTGCTGACACCACCGTTTGATAGATTGTATATACTATATGTATCTAAGGCGACAAATCAATCTTTTGCTTTGAAAGGTTTTCAAAGCATCTGGATTGAGTAAATTCCAGCTACCACTTTCGAGAATGCCAAAGGACGGTAAGGACTGGCCAACGGTGGATGATATGGTAAAGCAGAACCAAAGGCTTGTGGTTTTTACTTCGAAGAAGGATAAAGAAGCTTCTGAAGGTTTTGCTTACCAGTGGAATTACATGGTTGAAAACCAGTGTGAGTTTTTATGAACTTGAATCAGACATGAATCTAGATTAAGGACCAGCTTGACGAGATGATGTTGTGTTGTTATGTAGATGGCAATGAAGGATTGAAGGATGGATCATGCTCGAGTCGATCTGAATCTTCTCCATTGGATACCAAGTCTCGGTCTTTGGTGTTCCAGAACTACTTTGAAACTAATCCTAATACCACGCAAGTGTGTGCGGATAATTCCTCTCCATTGATCGAAATGATGAGAACGTGCCATGGGGCAGCGGGTAAAAGGTGGCCTAACTTCATAGCTGTCGATTTTTACCAGGTGCTCCTTTCACGGATCCAACATTAATATGAGCTGATCATCTAAAAGTTTGTCCCTTTATAGAACCAAGAAGTCGAATATTCAGAATCTCTTTGTGATATTGAATGTTTGATTGCAGAGGAGTGACGGTGGAGGAGCTGCTGAAGCTGTAGATGAAGCAAACGGCCGTGTCACATGTGGTTGTGACAGCTTAGCCTATTGCAAGGTACCTTACATTGAACACATCATATTCCTCTTCCTTCAGAGCACAGCCTTTTGACTCAAATTGAGTTCTTAATTTCTTGAAACTCACTTAAGATTATGGAATAAAATTCATCAAATTGAGGTAATGAGAATGTGTTTTTGCATATGAAAACAGTCGAACGCACCTTTTGGAACATGTGATGCTCCTCCTCCAAAGTCGTCTCCCTCACCAGTCACTGGTCAAACTTCTAAAAGGGATCCGACAAATCTTCCTGTGGGTAATGCTGGTTCTACAGCAATTGGATTGTCATCTCTCATTCTGATCTCTGCGGCGACTCTCTTACTATGGTGATACTTCTTCGGTGAGCTCAGTTTGCTTTGATATGACACAAATGTTTTTATTCCCCTTAATACATTTCCACAAAATGACCAAAACATTCAATACATTATTGGTGAGTAGAAGTTTTGAGATCATGATGTTGTAAAAAAGAGTGAAACCAGTGGCAAAGCTGATACTAGGTGTTGTACACACAGACACAAACACACTGAACCAAACAACCCATGTTTGTGTAAATTATCAATGCAGTTCACCAACAGGAGCTTCATTGAGCCAGAGAAAGTGGATGAAGTCATACAACTTGGCGCTGACACTAACCTGCAAGTGTAAGTAAAAAAAAAAGGTTTCTCTCAGAATGCTCTTGACACAAACAGATTTTCTCAGGTGTTTTGTTAGATTATTATACCTTATATGGAGTAGGGTTTAATCTTCTCATATGATCGGGTCGCATATTTTCGAGCTGTTTGATGCAACGGTTTCTTAGCTCTTTCAATGGTTCTAGCTCTTCCCTAGCTTCATCTTCATGGCAGTAAAAAGGAAGAACATAATGAGTCTTAAGTATTTGTCAGTATCCTGCAAGAACTGAGAGCTCTGTTTTAACCTGCATTGCCACGCCAATAGCATTTCAGAAGCTCTTCAACACGTTGTGGCACCACATAAGCCCTTTTCGATTCATTAAATGGATGACGGCAAAGTAACCTTTCACCGACCTTAGGATCCAGAAAAAAAAATATTGAAACGGCAAATAAAAAAGCTTAAATCTTTCAAGAAAGCTAATGTCTTTCGTTTACCTTTGGAGGTGGTTCGTTCTCTCCAGTCATTATATCAACAAGAGGGTAACCCTCTTTTCCGAATAATCTGTAAGTACGCTTTTTACATGGTATTGATACCTGAAGAGAGCAAAAAAAGAAAAGCGAGAAGGTTTATACAAAGAAGAACACAGAAAGTTTGAAGCAACATTCTTAGTAAAGAAACGAGTCCAGATTTCAACCTTAGTAACATCTTCAGAAAGTTTGATCCGCGGCTGACTATTTATCTCCACCAGTTTGAAAACACAACCTAACGCAGCTTGCGCATAGCAAGTCACTAAGTTGGTTCCAATTCCAAATGCATCTACTTCATGACCCTTTTCAGGATGAAACAAATATTTTGTTACATTTCAAGGTGAGGCCTAAAGGTAATTAAGGTTAAGCAGGGATTACCTGTTTATTAAGGGCATCGACTGTCTCTTCGTTTAGATCATTACTAGCAGTGATGATCATCTTCCCGAAATCGGGAACTTTAAGGTCTCTCTCTATGGCACAAAAGAATTTCCTGACCTCAGTAGAAAGATAGGCCAAGTCACCTGAATCCAATCTAATGCCTACTGCTTTGTATCTGCATAACAGCGCAAAGTCATGAAATTTCAAGCAATTGCAATGGCTAATCAAGTATGGAGCAGAAGTGGAAGATTTGCTTACATACCCCAATTCATTAAGTGCTAGAGCAACAGCACAGAAGTTTGGAATTCCACTCTTCATCACCTGTAAGAAGGTAAGAAACACTAGTTCTTTGTAAGTCTGACAACAAAGATAAAAAAAAATTCAGATGAGATATAAAAAGTCTTATTACTCACATCGTATGTGTCTACAAGAGCGAGAAAGGAGTTGGGGAATGCCAACGCGTATGAAATGAATGCTGCAAGTTCGCTTTGATTTGTCTCGGAAAAAATCCCTTGTAGTGAAGATGAATTCTGTTGTCCACCATTCACAAGATAGATTTAAAGAGATGAATCAAAACAGAACAATACTAAACAGAGACAAAATCTAGATTTGACTTAACAAACCTGAAGCTTTGTCAGGCATGTTTGGACCAAACTAACAAAATCCCCACAAGTGCCTTTCCCATCAGAAGTTCGAAGCACTTTTTCAAGAATCTCATCAAGGCTCTACAAAAAAAGCCAGTGTCAAGTATAAATCTTTACACTACTACTTCTAACATTCCAATAGTACAAAATATTGTAACTTCCAATTCCCAATCAATTATGTTCACTACATATTGAAACGAGATTTTCCAAAAATTTTGCTAAAGCCAACTTACCATGAATGAGCTAACAAAAGCATGGGAATGAGTACCACGAAGGGGTATCCCAAACAGTCTTCCCGCTGCAACATTGCTGCAGTAATAACAAAGGGAAAAAAAAAATCAAAACCTCTCCTCCCTTTCGATGTTTCCAAAACAAAGCAAAATCACTAGTAAAGACATGCCTTGTTCCATCAAAACCTCCAAGGTAGCAATATTTTGATGCACTTATTGCGCCATCGGGTCCCTAGAACAAGACATATCAGAGATGCAACAAACAAAATCTCATCATCTAAGGCTAAACATATAACATGTTCTAAGGGGAAACCTGAGCTCTTCGAGCACCAAACTCAAGCAGAAGCTTAGATTTCCCAGCAACAAACCGATGTCTTGCTGCATTAGTAGCAACCAAAGATGCATAATTGATGAGATTGAGGAATGGAGTTTCCAACAATTGCACAACCTAAGTAAGGCATGAGAAAACAGAAACCGATCAAAACCTGATCATTCAAATTATTAGAGAGTAGAGATGATAATAAACTCACAGCAACAGGGCCTTCGATTCTGAGTAAAGGAACTTTAGGGAAAACAACTGATCCTTCCGAGATTGCATACACTTCAATGTCAGAACAATCAAGTCCTCGAAGATAATCACAGAAAGCTTCCTGATTTTGATATTACAAAACAGTAAACAAAGACATGGATGAAAAACTGAACCTTTTGAGATGAGAGATTTTGCTATACCTCACATCCAGGCAACGAATCACGAACAAAGTCAATCTCTTGATCAGTCAAATTGAAATTAGCGAGGAATTTGATGCATTCTTCTAATCCAGCAAATATAGTGTATTCTCCACCAAACGGGTTCTTACGAAAATACAAATCAAACCTGAAGAAAATTGAAAAACAAAGGTGAAATTTTTATACTTTGTGGAAATCAAAGGAACAAACTTTATTTGAAGACTAACACAGATCGCTCGGATTGCTTGCCAGCTTTCCAATAAGCATAAGCCATGGTGAATTGGTAAAGATCATTGAGCAGAGGTGTGACCATCGGGTTAGTGGGTCCGTCAATGACCCGACCCGATTGCTTCCCATCAAGACCGTTCTCTTTCTTCTCCATCAAAACCCTGTCTTTGCTGCGGCGGTGTCTCCGGCGAGTTTATTTATGTGAGTGTGTGTGGGGTTAAGTATAGGAAAGAGTGGTCACTGACGACACTTTCAACTCTACAGTCGTCTTCAACCAAATTCTTTCTCTGATATTTTCGTTGAAAGAGAATCCCAATTACTTTCCTTTTTTTTAACATATTAACATTTTTCTTTACGAATTTCCTTTTTTACTTTTTATGTTCTCAAATGGTATACTCAATAACAAAATTTTATACAAATATACAGCTTCTTACAATTATGGTACAGTTTTTACATATAGTTTTAGTTATTATAAAGTGTGCTGATGAAGTGTTACTAGAAGTTTAAGCATCAAGCATCTTACAAGTTACAACAACACTTACAGATGAAAAAAACTTTGAAACACTCTAGTCCATGACCATGTAGATACCAAAAAGTTCTCTAGAAGCTCATCTTTTGTAATTTACAAACCCAAGTCATTTTAATCTCCATACAAAGCGAAGATGATTTAGAAATTTACATCCGACCATTAACATACATAAACCTAACAAATTACTCTGTATTAAAAGTTTTTTATATATATATAGCTATTAGATCCAAAGACTACACTCTAGAGTTCGTGTCAACAACATTTTCTGAATAAAATAGAACCTTACAAAAAAATAAAGACCGTTAAATGCATATCCATTGTAGGCTGGCTGCAGCTTTTGTTTCTTGCGTTCTAAGAAACAAGAACACAGAGAACGAAAGATGAGATTCTATTCAAGTAAGTCGATCTTTTAAGTCAGGTTGTTGTCCATCAAAACCAGCTTGTTCCCCTGCAAATCCCCAAATGTCGCAATATTTAACACGAGACATTGTCAATGCCTTACAAAACTTGAGTTAAAAGATTAAAAAATCAATAAGACTTTATACCTGTTAAGTTTGTGTTGGAATGACCAAGGTTCAACCTTTGATGAGCTAACCCGCCTTCTCGACTCATATCCTTTAGTAACAAACAAAATCTATAGTAAGCAAAACTACCTTTCAAGACTTTGGATTATATAGTGAAAATGTGTTATTATAACTACGCACCACAGGTGAAGTAAGGAGAGGGAAAGGTCCAAAGTGACTGCGAATGGAAGGTTCCAACGCGTAAGAAGAAGGCACGGTATTGATCATCTCCGGAGCATTAGAATTCGAAGTAAATTGATTGGTGTGATTAAGCAAAGGATCATTGGTTGCTTCCGGAGGTCGAATCTGAGAGAGTTGCAGTGGGTGTAATGTAGTTCCAGGTAAGCACAAAGGATGCAAGTTTACTCCATTTCTCATTGTCAACATCTGCAAAGATCAAACAAAACAACTCCTTTCATCATCACACAGAGGACAGAATGGTGTTGGTTATAATAATAAACTTCTTGAATCTGTTGTACTGACCTGAACTTGGAGCTGAAGCTGTTTCAAATACTCTATAGCTTCATCAAGCATCGAAGCCTTATCCGTCTTCCCCGACAAACACATTGCAAATGGCCATCATAATCAGACCCAAAAAAGAAGTAAAATGGAAAGAGAGTGATTCATATTTATAAGGATGTGTCTCTCTGTATATATAGTATTATTTACCTTATTTGAATTTGGGATGAGACTCTGTAAAGCTTTCATTTTTTCATTGATTCTACTTCTTCTCCTCTGTAAGAACAAGAGTCTTAATCAATGTCTTGAATAAAAATCTATACTTTGGATAATAGACAAAAGAGCTCATAAAAAAAACCTTCTCAGAAAGATTATGAACTTCAGCAGCTCTGCATCTCTTAGAAGAAGTACGCGAAGGACCTGACTTGGAGGAAGGAGCTTCATCAACCACAGCTTCTCCTCCTTCCTGCTTTCATTCAAGCAAAAATTAACAAAGACTCACAAAACTACACACACGCACATTTTAAGGGAGGGGAGAACCAAAAGTACAGATCCGTCAGAGAAAAAAATCTCTTTATAGAAACATTATTAGGAAACAAACAAAACAAAGATTGAAACTTTTGAAACATGCAAGAAAGAAACAGAGAGTTTGAGGAAATTTCAAAAAAAGCACCTCGCTTTCGCAGTCATACTCATCTGTCTCATTCCCACTAGCTCCAACGGAAGAAGACGACACTCTAGTTCCAGAGCTGTTTCCCTGAGCGTTGTTGTTACCACCACCAGAGAAACCGAAACACGCGGCGGCAGAGGCTGATCCAACGGCTGAGCTTCCACCGACTAAAACCTCAGAGAAATCTCCGACGCGCTTCGTTGTCATGAAGGCAGAATCAGACGGTGGGTGTTGAGAAAGGAAACATCTCGAGTTATCTGCATGTGGGTCACCGTGAACTCCGATCATAGAAGTAGTCGTCGCCGGAGAATAGTAAGAAGGTAAAGGAGAAGAACGGTCGAAAATATGCCGGAGAAACAGAGAGATTTCGTCGGAGGAAGAAGGTGGATGATGATTGCTACTGCGAGTATCGTAAAGCGAGGAAGAAGATGAAATCAATTTCTTATCTCCCATCACTCTCTTCTTCTTCTTCTCTTCTCTTTCTTCTCTTTGTGATATCATTAGAGCACAAAAAAATAATAAAAGCAGTTAAAGCTTTGGAAAAAAAAAACAGAGTTTTTGAGATTTTATGGGCATGGAGAGAGAAGAGAAAGAAGAGAGAGAGATAGGGAGTGTCAGTCACGCGCCAGCTAGGAAACAAAAGTTAAAATGATTGGTCTGTCATATGGATAAATGTGACTGACGCTGTTACTGTAGCAAAAGCAATGAGCTTGTGTCAGCTCTCGGTTTTTTCAAACCAAAGTTATTTTTTTATCTTCTCCTCTCCCAAAACTTTTTCCTCGTCGCACGTGAGACACACTAAACTTAGTACTCCTAGTTACCTTATTTTTTTTTCTGGTAACAAATAATATTACCTTTATCTGTTTTCTCATAGTCTATTATTTAAAATAGAAATTTGTTAAGATACATATATGCATTTATATAGTTTAGAAGAATAAAAATGAATGATATATCTCAAACTAAAGTTTAATTTGATGGGGAAATTTTGAAGAATTCCTTTAGTTAATAGAAAACGAAAGTTATACGACTTGGGTGTTTTGACAAAATTATTTCCACTTTTAGTAATTTGATTATTGTAATTGTAAAATATTAAAAACTGGTGACGTGATAAACAAGAATACAGTAGTTGCTATTTTATTCTATTGACTAGTAATATAATATATGCCCCATGCCACTGACATGCGTTAAACTACATTTTTCGTATCGTGATTATGATCGGAATAACGATGTTGTATTTTTATCTGTTTTTCAACTATATACAACTCTCGAACGTTCGCGTGTGACCGTGATCTAAACTGAAACACGACCTTTTTCTAAAAATCAACTATTCAACTTCTAGTATATATGGTGGTAATTTACTTTTCACAAATATGATCCGGATCCAAAACTAGTATTTTATAGCATATACCCTTATAATATAAGGTTCAAAATATATAGAAGAAAAAGTAAATTGGATTTAGTATAGAATCCTTTGTTTAAGTGATGGCCATGTTCAACATATTCGTGTTGCGGCAAAACAAAGCGAATGCAGAACTATAATACAGACGGCACCAATTCCTTGGTGAAGTGAAATTTATATATTAATTTTAGTCGTAAAGTTGCACCATTTCAGTTTCAGCTTTTCTTTTATAATCTGCACATATATTAGTCGTTCAGTTGTACCATTCTGTTTCGATATGTAGTTCTTCTTCTTAGCAGATTATAAAATAAAATATAAATTTGGAAGTTATCTATTTTAACATTGTATATAGACGTTATTTTGCTTGCACTGAATAAATCAAATGTACTTGTTCTCTCGATGAATGAACAAAACTGCATCACTTATTTCAATTTTGCAGCATTCACTTAACCTCGTATTTACAATTTCCGAAACAAAGGAAAAGCAAATGGGGAGACAATTACTAAAAAGCCTGCAGCATTTTGTTCAGCTTCTGTTTTTCCATTATTTTATCAAGTTCGTTTTCCTGGTACTATATATATTTACTAATTAAAAACTTGCTTTTATTAAGTAAGTATCGTCAGTGATAAGAAAGTGAATTAATGATCAAACATATATCCAAAAGACTGTACTAAGAAATATCCTCAATTAACGTAAAGAGTTCTTCAATCGCCCAAATCAAACAACGGATCTGATTTTTACTCCATTACTCAACATACAAATCTCATTTTCATCTAGAAAAAGAAAATAAAAAATTAGCATGATACATAAAAAGACAAGATTTAGGGTTTCTAGAATTGTCAAAGATATTAATGAAGAGATGGTTGAGGGATGTTTTAATAGTTTTGTTCAAAAAATTAGCATGATACACTTTTTTTTGGTCTAGATTCTAACAAGATAGTTGATTGTTTTCAAGTTGTGTTGTTTTTTTATTGGTGGTTTGAATTTTATGGAATTTTCAAGTTGTGTCTCTGTATGTTTAAAAGACCCATACCTCGTTGTCTTGTCTGATTTGAAAGTCAGTAAAACAAAATCAAAATAAAAAAAGATGATCCTAAACTTCTTTTTCACCTTTTATCATCGTTTCGCTGCCATCTTTTTCTTCATATACAATAAATAATATAAGATATTATTGTATGTCCATACGCAACATACCAAAGTAATACATATGATCGATCCATTACACGGATAATATAATGAGTTGCACATATATATAACTCGACCCTAAAAGTTTATGCGACGTTAGGATGCACACTAGATAAATCTTTCCTACAAAGCAAAAAAAAACTTCTTTTTCTTTTCTACCATAAAGTTGTGGATTCTCGCTATTCATACATAAACATGAAAGTTATAGTATATTGGATTGTTACATATACCCTGCGAAAGGGACCACGAGATCATTAGGATCTCTATCATAAATTCAACATCACACGTCAAATGAGATCCCCGAGACAACTCTCCCCACTTGGATCCTTAATTATAAAAGCTCCTATAATCATTTATTTTTAAAAAGCCAGTGGTAATCAAAAGTAAAAATAAATTGAATTCAAAGGCTTTTAACAGTTTTGAAAGAGTTCTACCAAAAATGTTATCGCAAAAACAAAAATGTAATGGTGAACTAAAGTGGTTTTTATAACTAGCTAGAGTCTGATAGTAGGCAATCATGGCGTCGTTTATTCCATTAAGTATTTTTCAACAACTTACATTGATATTGTTGATAAAAGTGTTCACTCACAGTCAACTTAGATTACTTGTGTCGTGATAAACGTTGAACCGAGAAAGGAAGAGTTCATTTATTTCTGTGTGTTATGTATTACCAATGGTAATAGAAACTGAATCCGGAAAGATGTGTACACAAATCCAAAACTACATGTTGAAGAGTAGTCGTTGTGTTGTTATGATCAAAATAATGAAAAATTTGGTGCACACACTAATGTTTGAAGACGATATTAATTATACTCCACCCAAAGAAAAAAAACAGATCGAACGGTAAGATAAGCAAGTAGTAGTTAGAGATAGCCTAGAGATGCGCAAACGAATAATAAGCTTAACGTCACAACTCACAAACCTTAGCATTGATCATCAGACGGTGGATAATTCACGAGAGAGAGATTTGAAAAGGCTGTGGATAGAGGGGTGGTGTGATCTGGTGTGACATCGTCCTTTTAGAGTGTTCCCAAGACACACGTGTTGTGTTCTCATTAGTTAGTTAGTACAACAAAGTTTAAGTAGGATCGGACGGTGTAAATAAAGCTGGGAAGATGTACTTTGGTTTGAATACGCACTCGTACAAAATCAAAGAAATCTTCTTCTACTTTGGTTGGGTCTCTCGCGGCTCATTTCAACAATCCTATCACTTTGACTCTCTCTGTCTATGTGTGTTGTAGCTCTACTTCTACTTCTACGCGCAAGTTCTACGCACGTTGATCAGACGCGTACGTACACAGCCAGTGGAAGATTTGTATAGTTGTCAGACGAATCTTGTTAAAAGATTTGATGATGATGATGAATAACGAACTCTCTAAAAGCAATGCAAGTGAAAGAAAAAAAAAAAGGTTTTTTCGATACCAACCAAAAGTAAAAGGTCTAACTTTTGTAAGATTTTCATTAAAAAATTTATATCACACTGCATAAAATTTATTATGGGTTATAGGTCCATCCAGTATATTGGCCTATTTTTAAGAAGAACAACACTTAAAAGTCTGAAATTCTAAACATTGAAGGAGAGAAAATAAGATCTTTTGCAAATGGGCTTTAAAAAATGGACATAATAAACCCAAAAAACTATCATGGTTTAGGACCACTATATTTTGTAGGCCTAACATGTTTAACTTAATTAATAAGGCCTTAACTATATTGGCCCGTTCTATTCAAACGATATTAAATAAAGGCCTTATAACAATTTGGCCAATTCTTCTTCATTTTCTCTTACTGTTACTTTTCTTTAAATATAATGAAAAAGCTGAGACTTTAGCCATTATTTCTCACAGTGAGTCTAGCTAACTATAATAACTCCTCTCATATTTATTGAATTTTTATGTTTTCAATAACGTGATGAAATCAAAAACTATAAAGATCCACAAAAGCGCCGACATAGTTTCTTGGGAATAAGCCTAGATTTGACTTATCATCCATAGATTAGCAAAAATACAATCTTTCTAGTATCTACGACTCGCAATCAATTCTCTCCACAAAGTATAAACCTAAAATAATTTGAACCACTGTCACGTTACGTACATATATATTTATTACAAAATAAAAAAAATGCGTGTTAAATAACCTTAAACTCTTATGTGGGGTTTGCTTTTTTGGGTGGGAAAATTGAATATGGTATAAATCCTAAGGTATCAATGTGTATAAATACGAAATGATCAACATCATCTTTCCTGATTTGGTTATTTCGTAGTTAGTATTTCGATACTATAGTCTCTCTAACTCTTATCATATAAACGCAACTATATATAATTTTTTTCGTATGTGAGTTACAGAAAATTATGAAAGGGATTGAATATGAATATGAAGAAGAAAAAAGTAGGTATGAGTCACAATTTGTACCCTAATTTGGGTGGTTCCCATGCTTATCACGACATTTTTAGATGGACCACGATATTTTCTACTTTTATGAAATTTATAAAGTTGTCAAAATAAGCAAAAACACAAAATAATATGCTTTTACCTGAATTGGAAACTCGTGAGACTCTTTAGTCTAATCTAATAACACGAAATTGTGTGTTTTGATAACATTTTTGGGATGTGAAAAAACACCTTTCACTCTTTTGGACTTTGTTTGTAAATTCGGAAAGCAAAATCATTTTATTTATTGACTATTCAATGCTTACTAATTCTAATCTTAATAATTATTCCTAGATAATGTTTAGACCAAAATAAACACTACCAAGTTTACACTAGAAGAAAATAAACTTGGTCTTCGTTTCAGATTTTGTTTTTCTTTTACTTGTTTGTTTATGAAACTTCAAAGCCAAATTAGAAAGCAAAATTTAATTGTTTGGTTCGAGATAATGTCTATATATGTTGGGTTTAATTGTTTTTGGTTGATTTAATA